GTGTCAGAAGGGCTGTACTCCCGGTGGAGAACCCGGGCACTCTCCTGATCTGCGCCATGAGATCAGGAGGTACCAAACCTAGGGCACCGAGAACAATGGGGAGCCTGACGACAGTGTACTTGGGATGCAAGCGAGACATTTCAAAGGCGAGGTCCGCATACTTAGTATACTTTTCCTGAATCTTGCTAATCACATTGCTGTCAAAAGGGACAGAAAATTCAATGATATATATAAATTCATTGGCTTTATCAAAAAGGACAAGATCAGGTTTGTTGGCTGGAATTCTCCTCAGGCTGTATATGGGCCTATTCCACAGAGGTTTGACGTCCTGGACATGTTCAGGGTCGTACCATGGGTGGACCTCGGAGTCAAAGCCACAGGCATGTCGGAGACGGTAGTAAAAGCAACGAGCCATGCCATCATGTCGTTTAAGATATGCTGTTTGTGCCAAGGAAGGGCATCCACTGACAAGGCGTTGGACAGTCTCTATTAATTCATTGCAAAGTCGACATTTCATGTTAATATTCTCTTTAAGAATCACATTTAGGCGATTACGAGTGGGAAGTGACTGGTCCTGAGCAGCAAAAAGGAAGCCCTCAGTTTCACATTTAAGACCAGCCGACTTCATCCAGGTGAAGGAGTCGGTGGGATTGCTATTCTGTTCCACACACTGCATGTACACACGATGCAATGGCTTCTCAGAAAGCTTCTCCACAAAATACCGACTCTAGGCAGACTTGGTGAAGGACTTCACCTGGTTTACTCCCATCGCTGTACCGTCCATCAATACAACTCCATCGACAAAATCAACCTCAAATTTCAGATTCTGTCCAACAACATTGGCACGCTTAAAGGAGCTGTGGAATTCCTTGCTTTCATCATGAGTCTTGACATGCATCACCAGAGGATCATCCGATAAATAAATATGTACAAATGTACACACTAAAATTCTATCATGAAGAGCCTCCACATTAATCAAACCCCAACCTCCAGAATTGATTGGCATATATAAACGATTGAGAGAGGAACGAGGGTGGTGGGCTCTGTTATCAGACATGATCCTTCTGGTCAGGCGGTCAAGACTCTGGATGTCTTGTTTTGTCCAGTCAACTACTCCAAAGGAATAGGAAAGGACATAGTCGACATTTCATATTGATATTATTACTCTATACACTTAGGGCCTCATTTTTTAATGTGTTTCACGTAGCCACCAAATTCTGAACATGGGTCGGTCGGTCGGTCGGTCGAGATAAAGAAAATAATGAATAATGTTCTTGATTCTCATTTATTGTAATACAATTTCTCGCGTTTTTTTAACGTGTGGCAACGACTGATTAAAAGAAAGATGAATGTTCTATATGACGAGGCGGCGGTGTTGGAATGAAAAAAAGGGTTGTGTTTTATGTTGTTGTTGTTTTTATTGTTGTTTTGTTGGGATTTTTTGTTTTTGGGGTTTTTTTGTGTGTTTTTTTTGTTTTGATTTTGTTTGTTTTTTGTTCGGCAATAAAATTAGAAGGGTCGGTCGGGCGATGAAAAACACAGAAAATATAAATGCTGCCCTTACTGGGGTCCCTAGTATCGGGATTTACCGTCAAGTACAGGAATCTAACCAATATTATGTCAGATTTAACAAGAACAACAGTATATTCGAAAACATAGATAACACAAACAGCCCTTATGATGACGTGCGAGTTTCCAATTGAATATGTAGAGTATAACATCCTTGTTACAAGGACGTGAGACTTGTTTCTTTCGCAATGTTAATAAATCTGACTCATTTTCATCGTCCGGGTCATATCACTTTAGAATATTCGAGTTTTGCTCCTCGCTTCCTTCTTAGAAAACATCTTAATTATCGATTTACATAATTGTTTTGTTTTCCTTCTTGGAATATGTGTTTGGCACGTTCTGTCGGGAGTTCTAACCTACGATCGCTACCATTCATGCGTAAAAACAACATAAAAAGTTACAGTAAATCCATGGAAGTTACTTGTTGTAAAACAATATCTCGACGTCTTGGATTCCATAATATACAAATACACGCACACGCACAAAGTTTGCAAAGCCTTCAATATCTTAGGAATGAGGGAAGAGTTACATCTGCATTAACTCGAAAAGTCCGTGCAAGTCAAAAATCGACTTGTTCGCTCGTTTTATCGATTTACGCAGAAAACTTTCATTCCAATAAATAGGTGTTTTCTTATGTATGTGTCTTCTTGTGAGTTTAGTTTTACGCTGCTTTTAGCAATATTCCAGCAATATAACGGCGGGGGACACCAGAAATGGGCTTCACACATACTATCCCATGTGGGGAATCAAACCCGGGTCTTCGGCATGACGAGCGAACGCTTTAACCACTAGGCTACCTCGCCTAGGCATCACTGAGTGACCCGACACACTTTTTGTAGATCATGACTTCTTTCTTCCTGTTCACAAAATATTTTGTATTCTTATTCCTTTTGAATCCATCGTTTTGAGTGATACCGAGGTTGTATTACCTATTTTAAAACATGTGAAATAATGCTTAGACCTAAAGAAAAAAAATGTTAACCATTTGGCTTTAAGAACAGCTTGGTAGCTTTTTAATATATACATATCATGTCTTTGCGTTTCCATTAATTTCCCGTGTACAACATTTGAATCAGATGACAAACAAGATACTGTAAGTCTCCATGGTCCTTAGGATGGTGATCGACCTTCAGTTGCTAGTTTTACTGTCCTTCCATGGCAGGTTTTTATGTTATACATTTATTGATTTGAATATTGATATCAACTGTTCTCGTCACGATATGGCTGCAATATTGCCGATGTGACGTTAAATTTTAACTCACTCACTCACTCAGATGATATGCTTTGACTTGTCGTTTTAGACGGTCCATTCTGCTGTGCGTAGCACCCAACTCTGATTGAATACACATACACTCCTCTGGTATCTAACCCCACATCAAGCAGACACCCTGAAATAACGGAAATAATGTCCATTGCTGTAACACCAAACCTCCAATCGTTGGTTCAAAGTTCTTATTGGTCCATATTTTGTTTCTTGATTTGGATTTACACCACTTTCGGTTGTACTATTCAGAGGGGAGATAACCATTGCTCACATAGCCATTATACTCCTTACGAAACCGTGCTTAGAGAGCTTGTTACGTTAAAGGCACTTTATCACACCACACTTCTCTAGAAACAAATAATGCATTTCTCTCAATAATACTATCAGCCCTCAGGGAAGCTGCGACATAATTTATTAAACGTCACATGCAACGTAAAACACAACTTTGCAGATTCTGATACCTTTCGGTATGGACTTACCGAAACAAACCGTCAAAAATGCAAATTCAACTTATAAAGTTGAAAAATAACGCGATGAAAAAACCCGCGCGAAATCGGAGTTCAAACATTTCACTAATTTTCCCCCGACTTTTCGGGGGAAAACTGGTTTCAACAGCTGGGCTGCGCTCATAGCACGTGCGCAGTGAAATAGGTTCGCGCAGCTTGGAAGCGGGTTGTCCGGTGAATACTCGGTGAAGGCATTGGTGTGAGCTATTTTTCTAATGTTTTGTTGATATCTCACAGCCGCGAGCTTTTTATATGTTTTGACAGTAAATAAACTGTTTATATAATTTCATTTGTCTATTTCACCACACGTTCTTCTTACCGAGTCACTTTCTCAGTTCGATACTTAAAAGCAATGTCATTATTTAGCGTTGACAGAATTTCTAACTGTGATATAGATATGTCGTTGTCACAGACAAAACTCAATGTCTTGTTTTATTGACACCTGTGTGTCTGCCTGCCTGTTTGCTAATGACAATATTCAATACACAGCTGCTATCACTGACCACATGCAATTTGAACTTAACACCAATCAGGCTATACACCATAAACAAAACGCATTGATGTATGGCCCGAGTTCGGTCTCTGTCACATTATGTAATTACACAGACAGGCAGGTGTGATACTTGAACACATGACATGTTATGATGTCTGTTGATTGCAAAATGTTAAACACAAAAAATGAGCATGTATTTACAAAACCCAACATCTCTATATATACACACACAATGAGCCGTGAGGGATTCTGGAAATGAACCTGCAGTTACACTTGAGTGCACACCCACCCGCTCTGACTGGGTTCGGTAGCCCGGCTGCTTCGTTTCTTGGGAAGTAAACCCAAGTACACAATATTGCACTTTTGATTTGCGATTGTAGGCTTATAATTTTGTTTATATGTTTTTTCATAACCGGCAATGTATATTATATGTCATGAATAAGTGATAATTGTGTTTTAATTATGTTTGATTTTTTGGTTGCATGTGACCTTTTTAAAAAAACAATACGTATTTAGATTACAATATTAATTTTTAAAAGTTCAAATGATTTAGTGTAACGTTGCATTAAATCGACACTCGTGCCCTCTACCGGCCGAACATTATTTAAAGCGAACCCCATAGAGATATGTCCCTTGGCTCTTTACGAATATCCTACACATAACATTGATTGAAACAGTTCGGCAAACACCGATAGCACCGCGTGCGACAATCGTTTACATTCCATTTGTAGCAAGTGTTCGCCTCGAAGTTTCAGTTATCGATTTCAGGCGAGTCGTAAGGGATAATAACTCTTTTATTGCATCAAAAGGAAGCTAAAATGAGTGCATATGCAGATATACAGGGGCGGATACAGCTTTTTGAGAAAGGGGGGGTGCACACTATTGAGAAAAGGAGGGGTGCACACTTCATTTTTACCCGAATTTCAATAGTCAATTAACAAACTTTCAGCACAAAAGGGGGGGTGCGCACCCCTGCACACACACCCCACACCCCCCACACCCAACCCCCTCTGGATCCGCTTATGATATATATCACACATCAGTCACAAACAGAGAAAGATGGATACTCCTAGAAGGGATAAAGTATGTGTAGTCACTAGTCAGGTAGATGTGCCATCGGTGAAAATCATCTTATACATGTCTTCTGTATTCCAATTTCTCTCTCCAGATACAAATGGTACGTGGACGGGAAGGAGATTGAGTCAGGCAAGTATCAGAAAGTAAATGCTGACAGTGGCGTCCTGGAAATACCCGACTTTTCCCGAAGGGAAGCCGGAGACTACCGATGTGGGGCGACAAACAACATCAGCCAAGGAGTATCCCCGTTAGCCATTTCACCTGCTATCAGCTTGAAGGAAATCCGTGAGTTGAACTCATTTTTCAGAGATCCTATCGCGAGGTTATATTTCCATGCAGCATCCCTGCACTCTTTTATTATTCATCGATAATATTTACCTTTCTCTTTCATGATCTTTTCCGTTAACAGCCAGTTAGTTCTAGGATCAGGTCACACAAGATTGATTCTATCCTGTGACATTCTAAAGTGAAATAAATTCCTGCCACAGCGGTTCTTATTGACGCACTCCGTGTACTTCTTAATGTCAACTGCTGAGTGAACAGGGAGAGATAAGTGGAGCTACTGGCTTGAAGGAATTACAAATTGCATAGCTGTTTTTCGTTTATGCTTGCATCTATTAAAAAAGAGCAGTTAGCATGAGGAACTCCCCGGTATTATTATGATGTTGAGGACCCCATTATCTTCAGACCCCAAACGTTACAAAGCCAAACACTGCTCGTACATTTTGAGGATATTTGAGTTGGTCGTCATAGTAACTAGCCAAGTGAAAAATAACAGGAGAGGAAAGAACAGAATCGTACGTAAAGTTTGATGTACACATATAAAACAAAGATATTTATGCAAAATAAACCAAGCACAAATTGAATTTCTTTACAATGGAGGATTGTTTAAAAGCGGACAGCAGAAGAGGGTGCCTTGTGGGTGTACTGGAAATCAAATCTCCCATAGCCAAGGGTTCACCCATATAATGAAAGGACCCTCGTGAGATATAAATCTTATATTTGTCTCTGCATATTTTAAGAACAAGCCACCGGTTGGTCCGAAAGCGACGACATTAAAGATGTTCGGGCGACAGAGGGGGATTATGCCAAACTGGAATGTAACAATGTTACACAGGGGGACCCCAAACATCCATTCAGCTGGTTTCTGAAATCTTCAAGCGCTGATCAGTTGCAAGCAAGTGACAGAACCTACATTGACGAGAGGGGTATGTGTGTCTCGTATCTGTCAACTGATTCTCATTATGTCATATTACGTGAATTTAATCAAAATAAATTCAATCATGAGTAGGAGAAATTTCACCAAAAGACCATCTGAAAGGCAAAGGGTTTTGAGCTCTTAACAAATGCATGACATTGATTACATTCATAAATTATATATTTCTGCATTCAAAATGTTTTCACTGATACAGGTCAAGCGTTGATTTATATTTGTACGCAAACCTTAACCAAAAGAAAATACGCTGTTGTAAGATATTTGAATTGAATCAGTAGCAGTTATACTTTGCCAATGTTTCACATGTGAAGATATGACGCTGTATGTTGGTGAAGGTACACTACATTTCATCTACGTGGAAGTAAGTGACAAGACGAGTGATGATGATGTCTATAACTGTGCCATCTATAACAAAGTTCGGGAATACATCAAACTTGGAAATCCTAAGAGACTGACAGTTACAAAACACACTGGTACGTTTACTGGGATTCTGGAACAGAACTGTTCTTCCGTATGCATGTATGAATAGTCCTTAGTAATAGGGCGGTCAGGGTCACTGACTTGGTTGAATGTCTGTCATTGGCCCCAAGAGAAATTGGACGTTGTTAATGCTATTTCCCACTGGTTCGCCTTCCCAAGATCTTATTATGTCAAGGCTTTGGTGATATAGCTAGAATATTGCTGCTAAAAACAACATATTTTAAAATAGTATTGACTGAGACTCAACATGACAGTTACAAAGACAAGCAATGCTTGTAGATCATTTTGACTGATTAAAGCAAGCCGTCGTAAGTTTTCACTTTCAATTAGAAGTAACACAATTTGATACATAAAACAGAATTCACATATAGTCTACCCGTGAAGATCCGGGTTAGAATATTGATCTTCAGTAACCCATGCTTGTCGTAAGAGGCGACTAACGGGATCGGGTGGTCAGGCTCACTGACTTGGTTGACACATGTCATTGGTTCCCAATTGTGCATATCGATGTTCCTGCTGTTGATCACTGGATTGTCTGGTCCAGGCTCGATTATTTACACACCGCCGCCATATAGCTGGAATATTGCTGAGTGCGACGTAAAACTCAACTCACTCACTCACATATAGTCACCCATAACTTCAGTTCCTATATGTCGCAGGTGAGTTCAAGGGTATCTTATTTCCTTGTTGCCTCTCTGTGTCAGGTTCACGTGAAAGGAAGCCAAAGAAACAGTTCCAAACCAACCCTGCAGAATTCCCAATTGGTCAAACCGCAGATCTGGAGTGTGTTTTCAGCGGATAGTGAGTAGCGTCCAGACGTGAATGTGTGTTGTGTTTGTCATGGGAGTTACAGAGATGTGAAGTTACTTAGTACCAACGTGCCACGGCTCAGGTTTACTTTCTATGACAGAAAATAACCAAGTCAAAGATGTCGCTATGCATTTCATCATTTCGTAGATCTTATCCTTTCTCATCAGCGTTTGCCTTGAAATAATGAAGATAGTATCATTCATCGAAAGGTTTTATTTAGTTTGGCAAATTACAGCTTTGATGTTCAGATTACAAGGACCGTTGTACAATGTTTAACCTTATGCCCTTACTGTAGTTGAAGACATGTATCATACAGACTCGTTGAGATTTTCCCGATGCCACATTATGCCTCGTATGGACCCTATATACTGACTGACATACAACACCCTTGCCGTTTTTTCGTCTCTTAATTGAATATTCGTTTTGGCACCTCAAGTTTGAAGGATCCTGATGGTATTTTTTGCGTTTGGGTGTATGTAATTGAAACAGCATAATACCTAAGTAATTATTGTAATAAATATAAGTATTCCCGGAGATTTCGGTTGGAATGACATTTTCTAGTCTTTTATCGCTGGTCTTAGTTGTTTTGGTTGCCAACTTTCTTTAAATTTGTAAATACAAAATATCAATATATGTCGCATTAGTGTGTGCTGCTATTTGATGGTTTACGCGATGTGCAGATGCGATGAACCACTATTCAGTTAATACATGTTCACTTATCGTTGAAGCCCCCGACCATCAATCTACTGGTTTGACACGAAGAATGAACCCATCAGTCCCGGAACGAAATACCAAATGGATGGCCACAACATGAAACTGAAGATCACGAAAATAACAGAGAAGGACGAAGGCAACTACAGATGCAAAGGGGAGAATGCTCAGGGTGAAGCTGAGGCGACCATCTTCCTGGACGTAAAATGTATATATCCCTTGATTGTCTGACATAACGACGCTACAGGTTACCATTCTATTGTAATAGAATTCAAGTCACTTCTATCAATCTTGTTGACGACGGCAGGTTACAATGCCAGCATTCTCTCATCTTATGAATGGCGTGAAAAATGTAATGTTAAGGTAGTGAATATTTCCTTCGGATAAGCGATTGAATGACTGAAATATCCAGAAAGCCCAAGTTTCAGCAAAATCTGGTCAAGCATGGACCCGGTGAAGTGCATATGTGTTTCAAAACAATTATACTTGAAGTTACTTCAAAGTTCTAATACAGGTGTTCAATGATTCACTTAACTCAACATTACATTTTCATAGTGGTGACATTATAAGTTGTTCACTGGTCCCGAGGGGGACATGGGCTGATGTACCCTCGATGTACCCTACATCAACCCATGGGCCTCGAGGGACCAGTGAACAACGTATTTATCTTACCGAACACCTCCATGGTAATTTTGAACTGTTTGAAGCACGGGTATCGGATCACAGTATGGAGTACAAGACAAGACGACAAGAAAAACAAATTTAGAGTTATCTCCCGTCCATCGATTTGCATTCGCAAAATATCGGTAATTTCCGTACATCATACGTGGTTCAATGTTATTCGAGATAAAGAATTACTACTACGAAGTACCAAATGAGTTTGGCATTCCCAGCGTGGTACATAGAAAATGTTACTGGCTAGTAAGCGGGATACATTGAAAATAATAGAAGAGTGCTCAGCCAATCAGAAAACGACATTTATGTGTGAGGCAAGATAAGTAGTTGTGTACAGCAGACAATTATTCAAGATATTTTGTGTGTTAAGGCTGAATTAAGTTAATACTTTCTGCAGCTGCTCCTATATGGGAAAAGGCCATCACTAACCTGACCGTGCAGGAGGGTAAAGACGCTTCCTTCACCTGCAAGGCCCGCCCATCTATCGGCGAGACAGCTTTGAAACCTCCAGTATGGTACAAGAATTGGGAGAAAATAGAAGGAAACACAGGTAAATATCCGATAAAGTAAGTGTCAATGAAAAAAGGAACGATCCTTATCGGCAGTCATTGACAAGATTCTTTTGAAGAGAGGAACCCGTGAAGATCCGGGTTGGATTTGGTCTTCAGTAACCCATACTTGTTTTAAGTAGCGAGTAAAGTGATCTTGGTTGACACATGTCATCGTATCCCAATTGCGTAGATCTATGCTCATGCTGTTGATCAATGGATTGTCCGGTCCAGACTCGATTATTTACAGACCGCCGCCATATAGCTGGAATATTGCTGAGTGCGGCGTAAAACTAAATTCAATCACTTTCAAGAGAGGATAAACTGACATGAAATTGTTACTAACTAGATCAAAAGAAAACTGTCATTGCAAGAAATAAACGGCAATATTAACTAAACCCATCGGAATGACTTAAATGAACATCAGACAAGTACAATGATTGGAACTCTTATGTGTCTGTTGTTTTAAACTTCAGATATCAGTTGTAATAACTATACACACGGACAAAAGTATCGCAACACCCTGCATTTTACATATCATTAACCATAGCAAAGAAACCTATCTATCGGCGAACGCTTTAACCACTAGCCTACCCAACCACCCCTACAATGCACAAGTACCTTTGAAGTAACCCTACTACCTTCTCACGTACCCCCCGTGATGATATCACCGTCATTGCCCTGATATATGGTCGATTATCTCTCTCTTGTCGCAGGTAACTTCCTCTTCAGTGAGAAGGGTCGAGTCCTGACTGTGACTCAGCTGACCAAGCCTGATGACATCATGTGTTTCCAGTGTCAGATCACAAACGACGTGGGTTCCGTGTTTTCCAATGGTTGTCTCAACGTCATCAGTAAGTCGCCTCGTTAATAATTCACCGTATCTGATCGTAATAGTTTTTTCAAAATACAGTGATTTGTCACTGTAAACTAAGAAATCACTTTTGTGCGAGTTCTGTTTGGAGTCATAACCTGAGATTCCAACATGTTTTATAGGATAGGACCATCATTTTGTAATCTCACACTTATATATTCTTTAAAGTTTTAGAGTAATTTTGTATCAGGTGAATACAATATGCAGTTAACAACCCCCGGCCACAGATCTGATTGTGTATGCTATGTTAGAAATAGTTTCTTTGTACACTCTTCCCACAATGACGGACGCAAACTGCTAAGATACAAATAAAACCTTCTTTAAAAATACACTCCACTCATCATAGTGCATGTATTGAGTGATTAGCTTATAGAAAGAATTCCCTTCGTTAATACGATCTTAGTCATTTACATGTACAGTACCAAGGAAGTATATCAAGTTATGACATCATGTTTAAACCTACTTTCAGAACCCATCATAGTGACTACCCAGCCTCTACTTAGGCAGGCCATCATGAAAGGTGATCTGGTGAACCTGACTGTGAGGGGAACCACAGACCCGGGCATGACCCTCAGGTACAGATGGGAATTCAAGACTCAAACCTATTACACAGAGCTACCTCCATATGTGACCTACGACGACGCCACAAACCAAACCTACATCAACACCACAAGTCTGAGCGATGAGGAGTACGAACAGATTCATGGAAACTACACCAGTCTGCTGTACCACGACTTTGCAAATCGCTCTGTAGTCATTACGGTTGTTCCTCGGCGCGATCCAGGTTTGTATGCATAAACACTGGAATGCTATCATTATGTCTGTTGTGCCAAGCATGTGTCTTATATCTCTTGGATGGATAGGATGAGTTTTCCCCCCTTTGGTACTTGTGTGACGTCCAGACACGGGTCCGCCTCCGTGATGTAGTGGTTAGAGCGTCCGCCCGGAAAGAGGAAGGTCGCGGGTTCGATCCCCAGCCGCGTCACATCAAAATACGTTAAAATATGGTACCTGTTGTTCCCTGCCTGGCGCTCGGCATTAATGGGTAAAACAAGGACTGGTCGGCTCAGAGTCAGTATAATGTGTCTGAGTGGGTATTCATGCTTAACTGAGGCATGTTATCGCATTGAGCTAGCATTATAAAACCAGCTTAGTCTGGGCTAGTACAAGCAGCCACACATACACACGCATGCACGTCGTCATATGAGCGAAATAAAGTACGACGTTAAACCCCATTTCACCTCACTTCCAGACACGATGCCTTTAACGTCATGAGACAGTTCTGAGAGACATGTACAAATCTAGTCATGCTCTTACTAGATGTACTCCTGGTGAACCTGTTGTGCGTTCTGAGATGGTTCCATGTCTCAAGACAGGTTCCATTATCAGAGGATGGGAAGGTTTGCTTAATGACACGTTTTGTGGGAAAGTGAAGCAATTGAGATGGAGTCTTCGCTTAATGTTCTTAAGGCTTCTGAACCTAGGTTTTTGTAACACATGTCAATGCAGGTTGTATAGCTTTATAAAACATGTTGAAATTTGCAGTTGCCTATTAAATACAATTTTGTTACTACGAAACTATAATTATATGTGGGATTCAAAAATGTATAATATTTATTCCTTCCAATGTATTTCCATCCAACCTGAACTATATCATTGTCCCAGAGCATCACAGATGTTAAGCGATGTCACAGTGTCACGTTGACATCATCACTCCAGCTTATTGACTAGCATGGTGTTTACATTAGCAGTATCTCTGTAGGTGCATGCTTTAGTTCATTCTCTACCATTGCAGCACCGGCTGTGTTACAAGCAGCAGGCTTCCCGTGGTGGGTGATAGTCATGGTGGCCATGTTCGTCGTGATACTGGTCATCGTTGTTGTCTCCGTCATCATGTCCAGAAGGCAGGATGAGGGAGCCTACAAAAGTACGTAGTTTCAGCTGTTTTCTCAATGAAATCAACGGGTTGGTGATTGCTGCCGCTGGTAGATGAGAATACGCCCACCTTTTCTCGTACACTACACCTGTGCTCATTATTTGATAGTAATGAGTAAGTTAATATTTAAAGTCACATCGGCAGTATTTCAGCCATATCGTGACGATAGTCATATATATTAATACATTCTAATGATATACAGTGGGAAGGACAATGGACTTCGCTTTCACCACAGATTTCTATGGTTTTGGGAAAACAATTGTCGCCACCCCGAAAACTCGGTTTCCATACCCCCGTGTGTGACGTCCATCTTTGGTGTCATTGGTGTCGACGGCAGGGATGTTTATGGAATATTGTTAAAAGCGTTCGGACAACGGTCGAAAAAGTTACATCTTAGTGAGTGAGTGAGTTAGTTTAGTTTTACGCCGCATTCAGCAATATTCCGGCTGTATGGCGGCGGTCGGTAAATCATCGAGTCTGGACTAGACAATCCAGATCAACAGCAAGAGCATCGATCTACGCAGTTGGGATACAATGGCGTGTGTCAACCACGTCAGCCTGCCTGACCCATCCGAACCCGTTAGTCGCCTCTTACGACGAGCATGGGTTGCTGAAGACCAATTCGAACCCGAATATTCACGGGTCGTTACATCTAAGGATCATGCTTGCAGGAATATAATATAGTCACAGCGAAACTTTATAGCTGGCATAACAGAGCTTCTTACATTATGGAAGTCACAGCGATGTGATAGCGGACACAAAGAATCTTAAACTCAAGGTCAAATATTCAAACAAGCGCTATTGAACAATCAAAGGGGAATAACTCTTCATTTCAGACATTTGGCGTACTGCTTACATCTGTACATTTTGCCCTTTACTCCAAATGGAAACTGTGAGGATAGACAAGTCTGGGTATTCTGAACTTCTTTGAGAGGCATTTAGAAGTAGGCAGTATTATATTGATGAACAGCTTCTTTATCACCTTGATAGCGACGTTTTTGGTGTATTCTTGTACACTGGCGTTTTATATTTACTTGAACTGGTCGATGATTCTGCTGTTGCATAGGCGGCTCCAGAGGGTGGGGGTGGGATGGAAGGGTGCGCACTGCCGCTTTTGTCCTGAAAGTTTATTAAATGACCATTGAAACTCTCGTAAAACGGGTGAGATGGAACTGTGCAAACCCCCCAACACCCACACCCCTTTCTCGAAAAGATGTATCCGCCCCTGTGATGGGCTGAAGTCCCCGAGTTTCATCATAGGTTCAGTAGCATGTATCTGTGCTGAGTCAACTACAAACGAAATGTCTGGTTCAAAATATTAACACTGACCCCTACAATGATGTGAAACAAATCTATTTCCAAAACGTTTTTCTTTATTAAGTCTTGTACGCAGCGGAATCTCTGAAATTCTAGACACTAGTCGTAATGCAAACCTAACAACCTCATTTCCTTTTCATCGAACACATGATTCTGTGGCTTATTTTCAAGAAACCGTTGCAAGGCAGGACTACAGTAGTGCTGTGCCGCGACGAGCCGTAAATACTATGGAGGGGTTTTCCACAAATTGTGGGAATGGCGGGTGCTTCCGGTAGAGCAGGACGTGCTTCGTATATGTTTCACAACTAGTGTGTCTTTTACACCAAATGGAATCTGCTTGTGAGGATAGATAAGACTCGGTATTGCTTTGCACTGACGTTCTATATTTTTCACAAAGTTAGTGGAATTCAATCAAATGTTCTTGCAAGTCAGAAATTCAGGGAAAGTCGACATGTACGCTCTTTTTATGTGTTTTCCTACGTATAGGCGTATATGTCTTCAAGATATTGTTTACAATGAAATATCTTCAAAATGTGCTGTGAACACGGCGACTGATTATCCGATTTACGTCTACAGTGAAGTGTGAATATAGGGCGGGAAAAAACATGTGCGCCAAAAACTACAGTAGGGTTAAATAATGATAAAATGTCGTCTGGAAAGAAAGTTCTTCTTCTTTTGTCAACAATGAACCAAGCCAAACTATAAGACTCTATTAACGAGCCCTTAAGTCGTGCAATTTACTAAATTATGTGAACCAACTTGTTCCAGTTTATAAGACTGAACTCGATGCGACATATCTTCAACCGGACAAAGATATTCAGGAGGGGAAGTTCCAGGAAGTGACGAAAATAGAGTGAGTATACAGATCCAGAATAGCGCGCCAACACATACCAAGATTACGGTAATACGCAGAATAGCGCGCCCACACATACCACGACTACGGTAATAGTATTAACGCAGAATAGCGCGCCCAAACATACCACGACTACGGTGATCATAGATACGCAGAATAGCGCACCCACACATACCACGACTACGGTGATAGTATAAACGCAGAATAGCGCGCCCACACATACCACGACTACGGTGATCATAGATACGCAGAATAGCGCACCCACACATACCACGACTACGGTGATCATAGATACGCAGGTGATCATAGATACGCAGAATAGTGCGCCAACACACATACCACGACTACGGTGATCATAGATACGCAGAATAGTGCGCCCACACATACCACGACTACGGTGATCATAGATACGCAGAATAGTAAATTGTACCAGTCACAAGTTGTTGTCGAGGAAAAACCATACTAAATCTGGGCGTCCATTTGAGTACGATTCCAACGATAAGTCAATTTCAAGCATTCCATCATACTAATATTACTATTAGCAAACCAACTTCCAGCTCGAAACACACGGCAAGTATGACCCTAAATTTAAAACCCTCTGTTATCGAGGCCCCGTAGTTCAATCGGTAGAGAGCAGTACTTTAAATCCGAACCTTCGTGAGTTCGAATCCCCGCTCTGGAAGAAACATTTGCATTAGTGTGTTCAATGAAGGAGCGCCTGAGTGATGGTCACGTTACTTCGGGTTATTACTACCTCACACATCATGGTGATGGATTCTAAAGGTGCTCCCGAGTCTCACCTTACGATCACGATAGTCGTCTCTTTCAACAAGCATGTGTTGCTGAAGAACAGTTCCAACCCGGATCTTCACGGGTACTCCAGATAACTGATTCGCTGATTCTCTTGTGTTTTCAGGTACACTGACCCTTTTGATGGAAAGATCAATGAGAATATGTAGTTTTGTGTCCAATTTACACCACAAGTTTGGTCAAGGGGAGTTGTTGTATTATCCCTCGACATTACTTTGCGATATTGCAGTTCAACACCCCAATATGAGCAGGGGGTGTTCTGGATGCTGTGAAATGAATGAGCCTGTAATTACAAAGCAAGAGCTTAGGAGATGTGCACAAACTTTCAACTCGTACATCTCGGAGACATATTGTGAGACATTCATATGTATGATGTGAAGAGTTCAAAGTGCCAACATGGCCATTTGTGATGTCACATGATGTGAGCATCATTATCATGACATTCTCCACTATGAACTCATTTGTTTAACCCAGTAATGATCCACAGTGCAAGAGGATGCAAGTTGATGTCGTCTTGAGGGATTTTAGAAGTTAGAAAGTACAATTTCGACAACCTTTGTGGATAACACCGTGTACCGTTGTCAAACAAAATCTGTACAGAGACGTCGGACGCAAGAAATAAAGGAAGGCGTTATCCATAAAGGTTGTCTATATTGATGCAAGTTGATTGGGATTGTAAGGTTTTTTAATTCATCATTTGTTGCTGTTCTCAATATATTCTGAATGTTTATTCCTATTTTTAGATATTGATTTACAATTCAGCCTGTTATGTGCGACTATTGAAGTCGATATATGTACCATATTTGCTGTATATAGGTCCATTTTATGTTATGGTGCTTAACTATAACCAGAGGATTATGTTATGACTGTCACAGTAAACGTGTGTACTGAAGTGTTAACCTGCGGAAAGGAACTGCGTTCCTATGTTGAGCTCCCTCATGGGAGCCACAGTTCCCAGTTGCTTGTGTATTGAAGAGCATGCAGGAAGTATTCATACTTCATAGAGAGACATGTTTTACTTACAGATACTATTTCCGCATTTATCGTGGACATTGAGAGAAATTTGCTTTATGTAACATGTTGCTTTTTAACAGTATTAGCGATGCTACGCAATAGCATGATGTTTTTTTCCTCCTATCGTGTACATTTAAACAGTTGGGTGGTTATGCTTGTTGGCGTGGTTGACCGGTGAAGATCCAGGTGGGACCCGACCCTCGGTAACCCATGCTTGTCATAAGAGGCGACAAACGGAGTTGTAAATTGATGCTCATGATGTCAGTCACAGGATTGTCTGGTCTAGAGTGGACTATTAAAGACCGCCGCTATATGACTGGAACATTCTTTAGTGGCTGGATAAAGAACAGACAAGCGAAGGTGGCTTGTCTGACCCTGTACTATAGAGACGTGAATAATTGTTTACCACACCAATCATTGGTTTGTTCAACATCCATCGTTATTATTGTGTCAGAAGTGTTTAGTAGGGCAGGATCTGTTTCGGACGAAAAGCGAGACTGATTACGCTCTCGAGTTTTTCAGTTAGGATGAACGTTATATGATGTTATTTCCTCATTTCAAATGTATATTGTTAATTTCTTTGATTTAATTCCTTTTTCATAAAGCTTAATGACAGTTTTAATTGCATTGCCACAGTGATTGTACAGTATTCTCAGTTAGAACTTGTGTTTCAGAGACTTTCTTCAATAAAATTTGTTGTTCAAAATTTGTTTTTCATCGTTAGTAATTACGGGCGATTGGGCCGAGAATTTCCAATTCGCTTACTTTCTACAAGTGAAGAGATAACTGCAAAATGTTTCTTGAGGCTAGTGGGGTTTGGGTTCCTTTCTAAATTCGACGGAACACGTTTATAAGAAACCGATGTAACCAAATTTAAATATTCACACGTTGATTACGAAAACAGCGTACGCCTGGCCACTTATAAATCCACAATGCATTTTAGAAATGGTCAAATGCAACATATGTTAAATTTGGAATTGCACAAAGTAGTTCACTGAGAAAAGTAACAAAATATACCATATGTTGCATTTGATCATTTTCTATAAGGCATCGTGTATTGATCATTCCGGTCATGGAAGCAATTTCCATTTGTCACAGGGGTACACAAAGTACGTGATCTTGGCTACCAGGTATCAGACTTCCATTTTGTGGAAGCTGTAGTGGCTGAGTGGGTTAGATCGCTGATTTTGTGTCCTGGCGATTAGGTGCCTGACTCTGAGAGTGTGGATTAAGCTGGTCCATCATCGTGGTCATGTAGTGTCAGGGTGTGAAGGTATGTTGGTCCAATGTAGCCATGCAGTGTCGGAGAGTGAGGTAATGTTGGTCCAAGCAGTGTCGGAGGGTGAGGTTATGTTGGTCCAATGTAGCCATGCAGTGTCAGGGTGTGAAGTTATGTTGGTGCAAGCAGTGTCGGAGGGTGAGGTTATGTTGGTCGAATGTAGCCATGCAGTGTCGGAGGGTGAGGTTATGTTGGTCCGAGCAGTGTCGGAGGGTGAGGTTATGTTGGTCCAAGCAGTGTCGGAGGGTGAGGTTATGTTGGTCCACTGTAGCCATGCAGTGTCAGGGTGTGAAGGTATGTTGGTCCAAGCAGTGTCGGAGGGTGAGGTTATGTTGGTCCACTGTAGCCATGCAGTGTCGGATGGTGAGTTTATGTTGGTCCTCTGTAGCCATGGAGTGTCAGAGTGTGAGGTTATGTTGGTCCACTGTAGCCATGCAGTGTCTGACGGTGAGGTTATGTTGGTCCAATGTAACCGTGCAGTGTCAGGGTGTGAAAGTATGTTGGTCCACTATAGCCACGCAGTGTCGGAGGGTGAGGTTATGTTGGTCCACTATAGCCATGCAGTGTCGGAGGGTGAGGTTATGTTGGTCCACTGTATCCATGCACTGTCAGAGTCTGAGGTTATGTTGGTCCACTGTAGCCATGCAGTGTCGGAGGGTGAGGTTATGTTGGTTCACAGTAGCCATGCAGTGTCAGAGTGTGAGGTTATGTTGGTCCAATGTAGCCATGCAGTGTCGGATGGTGAGTTTATGTTGGTCCTCTGTAGCCATGGAGTGTCAGAGTGTGAGGTTATGTTGGTCCACTATAGCCATGCAGTGTCGGAGGGTGAGGTTATGTTGGTCCTCTGTAGCCATGCAGTGTCAGAGTGTGAGGTTATGTTGGTCCACTGTAGCCATGCAGTGTCGGAGGGTGAGGTTATGTTGGTTCACTGTAGCCATGCAGTGTCAGAGTGTGAGGTTATGTTGGTCCACTGTAGCCACGCAGTGTCAGAGTGTGAGGTTATGTTGGTCCACTGTAGCCATGCAGTATCAGAGCGTGAGGTTATGTTGGTCCAATGTAGCTATGCAGTGTCAGAGTGTGGTGTTATGTTGGTCCACTGTAGCCATGCAGTGTCAGAGTGTTAGGTTATGTTGATCCAATGTAGCCATGCAGTGTCAGAGTGTGAGGTTATGTTGGTCCACTGTACCCATGCAGTGTCGGAGGGTGAGGTTATGTTGGTCCAATGTAGCAATGCAGTGTCAGAGTGTGAGGTTATGTTGGTCCACTGTAGCCATGCAGTGTCGGAGGGTGAGGTTATGTTGGTCCACTGTAGCCATGCAGTGTCGGAGGGTGAGGTTATGTTGGTCCACTGTAACCATGCACTGTCAGAGTGTGAGGTTATATTGGTCCAATGTAGCCATGCAGTGTCGGAGCGTGGGGTTATATTGGTCCACTTTAGCAATGCAATGTCAGGGCGAGAGGTTATGTTGGTCCAATATAGGATCGCATGAACAACGATCTCATTAGATTAGATATCATCAAACCAGCCCACAGAATCGCCTCCACCTTTCTGCAACAACTGCTGTTTGGCACAAACCGATTGATCTACTCCCTACTGTAGACACTGTAGTCAAGCCCTAGCAAAACTCTCAACATTCTTCTTTAAACAAAGTGATCTTTGTTGTTAGTTGTAACAGTTGAGTGAGTGAGTGAGTTGGTGTTTACGCCGCTTTTAGCAATAGTCAAGCAATGTTACGGCGGGAGACACTAGAAATGGGCCCATTTGTACCCATTTGGGGAATCGAACCCGGGCCTTCCGTGTGACGAGCGAACGCTCCAACCACTAGGCTACCACACCGTACCTTTCAATGCTGAAGCTTGATCTTATCAGACATTAACTGAGATGTCCGTGTGTTGGACGGTTCCTAACACTGGGGGTAGAGATAGATACATGCCACACCGTTTGTAAAACATTATCTTTCCAAAACCTCATTAGTGGTGGGATATTTGGTAATGACTGATAATAATGAATATTTATAAAACGGGCTAATTACAAACACACTCCCTCCTTCTCAATTTATTATTTACTATATCACTTTCAAACAGTCATACAAGGGCGGTGGGGTAGCCTAATGGTTAAAGTGGTCACTTTCCACGCTGAAGACACTGGTTGATTCCCTACTAGGTACAATGTGTTAAGCACATTTTAGCTGTCCCCCCTCTACTCGGTGATTTTGCCGGCTTATTGCTGAAAGCAGGGTAAAGCTATACTCGCTCGCTTAGTCGTTCTAGGGTCTGTAGCTTCAATCATAGGTCTCTCTGATGATGTTCACGTTGGTTTCCCTTGCATTAACTATTTTCGTCAGTAACACACACATGGACACAGAGACGTTATACCCACTTAAAAGTTCATTTTAATACTTGTTTTTAACAAGAAATTGAATTATTACATATATTCTGAATGATGGGACTGTACATATTAAATGGTATTTTATGATCGGTAGAGTAAATTAGCAACCGAGATCGTTAGTGGCTGTATCCTCGAAGGGGGTTAAATTATTGTAAAATTATTGGCCTCCTGAGAGGGTTCGTACATTGTAAGTCCCAAAACTTTAAAATTATATTGAGCTCTACCAAGCTATTAATCGTAGTATGTTTGTTGTTTTAAGTGATGGCTAAAAATTCATTACAATCGCCAGCGGTTGAAGGGATGGTGTAAATCCAGCTAGGGTCCATGCAGGTAACTAAAGTATTGTAAGTCCCCATGGTCCCTAGCATGGTGATCTACCTTCAGTTGCTGGCGATACTCAGTCCGTTTTTATATTGCATTGTCCTAATTTGAAATCCAATTTTAGAGGTAGATGCTAGTTTTAATTCTTGATACTGTGATATTCTAGTTTATCATAAATCTATAACTATTTTTAGTCACAATATGCCTGAAATACTGCCGCTGTGAGTATAAACGTTAACTCACTCACTCCACTCACTTATCCATTTAACCATTGTTCAGAACAGGCCTGGTTTGTATTGTCATTGTTTTGCTATTTTGTGTTTCCCCGGCCTGTCTGTCTGGTATTTCAAAGTCAAAGATCTTTATTATGCATATATGCCCTTTTACATATAACATATATACAATCAAAATATATTGGAAATATGATGTAAAACAATTAAGAGTTTAACAAAGTCTGTCTCCTTTTATAAGCAGTATATATGAATTACATAAATTTAATAATGCTTCATTTGAAGCGGAAGTTAACAGGCTTTTGAATATAAATATATTGGGAATTCGGTTGTAAACATGTGAAAAATATCGTAAGGACAAGTGCGTAGAGATACATCAATATTTAACCATCTTCCTTCATTTATTTTTAATCGTAATAGGCCTGCTCGGAATTTTATATGAATATCACGATATTTGTTTACATGTGTAACACTTAAGTATTTTTCAGGTTCTAGTAAACTCTTAAATTCTCTATACAAATTGTAGCGTGAACTGTTGTCGAGAGTACAGTGCCAAGATTGGTAAAACATATTTACACATACATCTTTAAAACATCTAAGAAAATCAACTTTATTGCCTACACTTTGTTCTAACCATACAAAGCCAAATCCATGTGAAAAAAGTATATTACGAATATCAGAAGCAAAATGATTTTTCCCAATGTTATCTAAATATCTAAATATACTGACATGTCATATGATTGTTTGGATATTCTACCAGAGTGTATTTCTGTAAGTTTTAACCAATATTTAATAACTCGACATAACGCATTTATATACAAAGGATATCGTCCACATTTACCATATACTATAACATTAGGCGTTTGTAATCCTACATTTAGAAATCTCCTTCATGCAAGCAAATGAATTTTTTCAATATTCTCATAGCGGCTAATCCCCCATACTTCCGCACCATAAAGTAAAATTGATTGAATTTGTGAATCAAATATTTTAAAGAATACCTTAGGATCAATCACATCAATCTTTAAGTTACATAATATTTGTAATAATGCTCTTTTTACCCTCAGTGCTAGATCGTCAGTACATTTATTCATTTTAAACGTGGATGTAAATATTATACCAAGATATCTATATGAATTCACAACATCAATAACAAAGGCTTTATAATACCATTTTTCTTCAGCTGATAATCGCCCACCCCTTCTAAAAACAATAATATTGGTTTTCTCGAGGTCGACTTCAAGTCCCCATTTATCAGAATATGATTCTAAAATATTCAATTGTTTTTGTAGTCCTGAAGCTACGTCAGATATGAGATTGACATCATCTGCAAAAAGCAATAACAATATCTCTAAACAAATCAGGAAACAGCTGTACACCGAATTTACCACTTTCTTCAATATCAGTACACAGTTCACCAATAAAAAAGGAACAAAGAAGTGGACTTAAAATACACCCTTGTCTTAGACCGAATGGGCAATCAAAATAATCTGTGTGAACATTATCGTTGCATCTTACACATGCTTTAACGGATACATATATACTTTTTATTGCAGATAGCAATAATCTACTCTCCTAAAATCTACGAAGGCGACATATAATTTCTTCTTTTTTCTTGATAAGCATTTCTGAGTTATTGCATTTAAGGTGAAAACGTAATCAGTTGTAGAATACTCTTTTCTCAAACATGCTTGAAATTCAGGTATTTTATCTCTTATCGTAGCCAAGGTTGTAAGTCTGGTACGAAGAATCTGTGTATATATTTTGCTGAGTACACTTTAAAGGGAAATCCCTCTGTAATTATCGGGATTACCTCGTTCACCATTTTAATGTATAGGAATTATAATTGCTTTAGTCCAATTTTCAGGGAAAACACGTTTTTGAAACAATGAATTAAAATGTTTTCTGAGAAATGGTAAAATAATATGTGTAGAACATATAAACATTTCTACAATTATACAGTCATTACCTGGAGATATAACTTTTTAAATGATCTAAGGCTAATATAATTTCAGAATCAGTGAAATCGCATTCAAGAATAGTTGCATCAATATCATCAACACAATCCTTAACATCTTGACAGTCCAGAGTTACTGTATCACTGGGCACAGTTCTATTAAAAAACATGTTAAAATGATCAAGCCATATGTCTTTACTGATCTGAGGTTGTGTCTTATTTCCTCCAGAGATAGATCGGAGCTCTTTCCAAAATGATTTTGGGCCCGATAAAGTTGCATTTATTCTGTTTCTCCTTTTGAGCTTAACCATGGCCTTGGACTTTCTACATAATTATATTTTATAATCATTCCTTAGTTTGCAATACATGCTTCTTGTTTCGTTTGATTTATGTTTATCTTCTCAAAGAACGTCTTGCTTCTCTTTTAGCAGATTTACAGTGATGATTTTAGAATGAATTAATGAAGTCATTTTTGTTTCCAAGAGGCTTTTTCATACAATCAGCAGTTCCAAGAATGACAGATACAAATTCATCAATTGCACTATTAACATCGTTCTCTATATGATCTTCGAGTTCCTCATTCCTCCACAAACAATGAAAATATGAACACATTCTCCTATACCGTACACTCTTCACTGGCTTCCAGTCAAGTTCCGGATCAAGTTTAAACTCGTATGCCTTGTTTTCCGTTGTCTCACTGGAACTGCACCCGGTACAGAAGGTCCTTCTTATCTATCCAATCTTATAAGTGTGTGCACGCCTTCCCGATCTCTCCGCTCACAGGATAAGAACTTGCTTGTTCTTCCGTAAAATAGTAAAGACAGTGCAGTATGGAAGCAGGTCCCTTGTCCATGCAGGATCAATGGCCTGGAACAGCCTCCCGCAGAGTCTCAAAGACTGTTGCGACCTTCAAACCTTTAGATCTAATCTTAAAACAGACATGTTCAAGATAGCCTTGATAACCTTTCAACTGTAGCTCTTTGCCTTAACTGCATTTTATTTTGTGCGCTTTGAGCATGCTTAAGCATGGGTATACATATGCTATTATTATTAAGTAAATAATGTAAGTGAGTCCATTTTTCATTTCACTTTTATTCCTAGAATAAGTTCGCGAACAATCACAATCATACTTTTTATCATTGAGAATAAACTCAGTAGCCATTGTAAAATATTTTATTCGAGAAACGTGACAGAAGTGTCACTATAGAAAAACACATTTGACGTAATCTAATCGATTTATCGGACAAGTTCGTCATGACAATGAACTAACCTATTAAGTAATACTGAGTAATTCAAGCCTATGAAGCATTGCACAATGATGATGGAAAAATGAAAATATAACATCAACAAAACGTTCATATCGTCACCATATAGTTAACACCTTTCGCACATGTACTATAGACATATATACATGGAGGGCAAATCGTTAACATGGTGGCAGTGTAAGCACAACAAAGCATAACTGTGTTGTAGAGACACAAATGATTATATTAGACAATCAATAATACGGGGTATTGTGAAAAATGGAAGTCTAATATCCTAAGAACAGCAGTATCATCTACCTATAGGTGTGCATCCCAAACAGCATACTGCGCCGATAAGCAAGGTGTCAGAGACTAACTAATACACCCTTACTAACTATATCCAGTGTTGTGTTTGGTTCTTGTGTAACACCACACACACAATGAGCCAGGAAAGTATTCCAAAGAGGGGTATTCTCACACAAATTATACACTGATTAGTGTGTCTGTTGCCTAACTGCAGCACTCAGCACACGACCGTCCAGGTACATCACGGCCGTCTGTAAATACTTCAGTATCCACCAGGCAATCCAGTGATTGGCATCAAGAACATCTAGTCATCTAGTCGATCAACCTAGTCAACGAACCTGACCATCTGATCTCGTCAGTCGACTCTTACGACAAGTGCGGGTCGCTGAAACCGGATCTTTTAGTCCTGAACTAATTGTCTTCTTTGGAATACGTTGAAACTCAAAAGACAATATCTAAAGCATTCATTGGACAGAATCATAGGCACTGGGTTCACAGGCACATTATGGAAAACAAGACAACAATCTATTTTATAAATATGTGACACATTTTAAATGTTACATTATATTAACAAAAATATTGTATTATTTTGCATAATATGTTCTAGTAATATAGAGTAACCAAACATCGGAAATAACTTCGCACCTGAATATTCAGACGTTGGACAATTTTTGTGATGGATGGAAATTGACCACCACTTCCCGAATATTCATTTAAACATTCTTCCCTGAATACCACGTATTACGTCCAACACGTGTGGACAGTCCATAAAGTGTGGACAAACCTGCTGCCTGCATTTCTGTTCCAAGGCGTGTACACTACTTGGAGCTAGTTGACCTGCGGCCTGATGAAATAAAATATATACACTTGTGTTGGAAATCTAATATATGTATATATAATGCGAGTTCAGATTTTGTACATTTATTCAATTTACTTCACTACATGTGTCTGCCCTGCCTATGTATGTTTCTTATCTTAGTTTAAGGGATATCGGCAAGAAAAGCACAGCCATCGCATACGAGTTAAATCAAGAACAATACTAATATGCGTGCCAGTTATGAGTAAGAAAAATATAAACTAAATGGAAAATAGAACACTTGTAGGAATATCTTTTTTCAATATCGTTTTCGAAAAACGTTTTGGGCAAGAAGGACACTAATGTTTGAAGTTTGATGTTGTTGAAAGGAAAACGCATTCTGTTGTGCATCTGTGATTTATGCTGTAATAACGGTTTTCAAGCCAATATGACAATGTTACAATAACAATCATTTATAAAAATGCCTATTTTTGCGGACTGTCACAACATTGTTTTGTACGAGTTAAGCGGTGTATTCTCCCCCATGTACTGCTGGTGTCATGTCCGATGGTGTTGAAGCAAATGCTGAAAATATTATTTCAAACATTATTCATAATATACAGCATATTATGTATCTCGTTCACAGCATACGTAATGAAAAACGTCGACATATGTGTTGATGGGATGTCGATGTGGATGTCGATGTAGATGTCGATGTGGATGTCGATGTGGATGTACGATGGTACGAATGTATGAGTGGAAGTGGTGAACAGTGTTGGACGTCTCAGAGACATGTACAGACTATAGGAACGTCAGTGTTGATGAAAACAAACATGGTGTTACTTATGACGTGCTTTTAGCAGATATTTCTCATGGCTGTTATAGGTTCTTGTCACTTTTAAATGCTGCGCTTTGTGTAAAGAAACAGACAAAAATAATGGACTTGTTAATCTACATATGAAAAGCAACGAGACGATTTTCCCGACTTCAATATCTGTTGAAAGTAATGAATATGCTTAACCTATATTTTGCATGATGTGTACGTTTGCAAAATATAGCCAAACAAATGAGTGAAGTTTGAGATGCAGTGTGTAACACTGACTAAGGTCATAGACACACATTTAAATGTATATAGTCATGTTTGTAGCAAAAACTGATAATGAAACTGAGTTATTGCCGAAACTTTAGAATACGAAGTGATAAGGTATCTAAATATGTCGATTTGGTGTCCGAATACATAAATATTAAGTTAATTTGATCGCCAAATACGTTTGTGTCATAGGTTCATTTGGCAACCCAAAACTCGAAGTGAAATTTCCACATCGACCGCATCGACCCGTTTCGTTGACCTGCTTAAAACGTTGATATGTTTGTTAATATGTTGATATATCAATACAATGTCCTCAGAAATCCTGACTCGCTCTAGTGGCATACTGTCCTACAAATGAGGCGTCATCGCTGAAATACGCGGCGTTGGATTTACCTCCGGCGTATCCGTCTAGTGAGTCCATGTCGTCATCGCTCAGTTCATAGTTGGGGTTGAGAGTTTTCTTAACGGACTCGTCTTCTTCAGGGCTGCAAGAGAAGATCTTTCTACACGAGGATGGAAGATTATTTTGCTTTGTCTGATTGTTTGTTTAACGCCGAACACAGCAATATTCCAGCTATATGGCAGAGGTCTGCAAATACTCGAGTGTGAACCAGACAATCCAGTGATCAACAGCAGTTAGGATACGATGACACGTGTCAACAGAGTCAGCGGGTCTGACCACCCGATCCCGTTAGTCGCCTCTTACGGCAAACATGGGTTGCTGACAAAAGGTATTACATGTATACGAAAGGTACACAAGCGAGAGAAATTGTGGACAATTATTCTCATAACAGTAACAGATGATGAAGGTTGATCGATTCATCTTACGCACAGGCTGCGGAATTTTCGTTGTTGTTTCATAATTATTTAAATGGTTCAACGAAAATCGGCGATGACACCGACACACGATTAGTACACAAACTGGATCCTCACTTAATTCGGACAATGGGTACTTTCTGTTAGGAAGGTAGATACTCACTCTATGCTCGTGACGTTCTGGAATTTATGATCCTCTATATCCTTGTCCGGGCTTAAATACACAGTGTTCACCTCGGTGTCGTACACTGAAAATAGCGACACACAATACAAACTTTATAGAACAGCTACATGAGGTGAACTATGAGCTGCAGGTATACGCTTGCATACAAAGGGAACTATGAGCTGCAGGTATACGCTTGCATACAAAAGGGAACTATGAGCTGCAGGTATACGCTTGCATACAAAGGGAACTATGAGCTGCAGGTATACGCTTGCATACAAAGGGAACTATGAGCTGCAGGTATACGCTTGCATACAAAAGGGAACTATGAGCTGCAGGTATACACTTGCATACTAAAGGGAATGAGCTGCATATAGCTTGCATACACAGGGAACTATGAGCGCTTGCATACACAAAGGGAACTATGAGCTGCAGGTATACGCTTGCATACAAAAGGGAACTATGAGCTGCAGGTATACGCTTGCATACTAAAGGGAACTATGAGCTGCAGGTATACGCTTGCATACACAGGGAACTATGAGCTGCAGGTATACGCTTGCGTACAAAAGGGAACTATGAGCTGCAGGTATACGCTGGCATACAAAAGGGAACGTTGCAAGAAAAGAAAAAACGTCTCGCACAACACAAAACATAATTTCAACTGTAAAGCCCAGCTAAGTCACAGCTCTATCACCAGTCATATGAAACATGATGATATCCTCATTGGATACAAAACAATACCAATAGAATGCGTTATTTTAAGTGCAGCAGTAAATAATCATATGAGTGTATCATATTTATGTTACATTCTTTCAAGACAAATACTTTGTTTTGACTGTTCTGAAAATAACCGTAAATGTCTTGCTAGTCTGCCTAAGATTTATACAGAGACAAGAAATCGTCTTGCTGTTTCCTTTCATACAAACATGTCGTGGCGAAGAACACCATAGATGGGTTTATCATAGTATATTAATGTTGGGAATTGAACCCGGGTTTTTTTCATTGTGGCGGGTGAACGCTTTTCAACTGATCCAACCAATAGCCTGAAAATAGTTGCGGCGGGATGCACTGTTAGACATGTGAGGCAGTGAAATGGTGTACCTTTGTACGCTCCCCGATCCTTCCTCTTCTGATAGCAGCAGCAGCAGATGATGATGAAGATGATGAGGAGGATGAGAAGTATCAGCAGGATGATGAGCCAGATCGGCACCCCAGCCTGACGAACCACTACAGGTGCAACTGGAAATCCAGCACACATAGTAAGAGTAGTGATTGTGAAACTGGGATTTTGTACAACGCTGTTAAGAGTGGGAAACTTTTGTTTTACACCACACTCATATGGTCAGTGAGAAAGTGTCGTCTTACACAGTACTCAAACAGTGAGAGGGAAAATGTTGCATTACATCACTCTCTAATAGTGCGCGTCGAAACATGCTTTTTTACACGACACTCTAATAGTACGTTGAAACTTTGTTTACACCACACTCGAAACGGGAAAATGTCGTTTTACACAACATTCTAATAGTGCGTCGAAACATGTCGTTTTACACTACAGTCAAATAGTGAGTCGCAACATGCTGTTTTACACTACTCTCTAATAGTGCGTCGAAACATGCTGTTTTACACCACTCTCTAATAGTGAGTCGAAACATGTTGTTTTACACCACACTCTAATAGTGAGTCGCAACATGCTGTTTTACACCACGCTCTAATAGTGCGTTTGTTTTACACTACAGTCAAATAGTGAGTCGCAACATGTTGTTTTACACTACTCTCTAATAGTGAGTCGAAACATGTTGTTTTACACTACTCTCTAATAGTGTGTCGCAACATGTAGCTTTACACTACAGTCAAATAGTGAGTCGCAACATGTAGTTTTACACTACTCTTTAATAGTGAGTCGAAACATGTTGTTTTACACTACTCTCTAATAGTGAGTCGCAACATGCTGTTTTACACTACAGTCAAATAGTGAGTCGCAACATGTAGTTTTACACTACTCTCTAATAGTGAGTCGCAAGATGCTGTTTTACACCACCCTCTAATAGTGAGTCGCAAGATGCTGTTTTACACCACACTCTAATAGTGAGTCGCAACATGCTGTTTTACACTACAGTCAAATAGTGAGTCGCAACATGCTGTTTTACACTACAGTCAAATAGTGAGTCGCAACATGTAGTTTTACACTACTCTCTAATAGTGAGTCGCAACATGCTGTTTTACACTACAGTCAAAAAGTGAGTCGCAACATGTAGTTTTACACTACACTCTAATAGTGAGTCGAAACATGCTGTTTTACACTGCACTCTAATAGTGAGTCGCTTTACATGTAGTTTTACACTACTATCTAATAGTGAGTCGCAACATGCTGTTTTACACCACACTCTAATAGAGTCGAAACATGCTGTTTTACACTACAGTCAAATAGTGAGTCGCAACATGTAGTTTTACACTACTCTCTAATAGTGAGTCGCAACATGCTGTTTTACACTACAGTCAAATAGTGAGTCGCAACATGTAGTTTTACACTACTATCTAATAGTGAGTCGCAACATGCTGTTTTACACTGCACTCTAATAGTGAGTCGCTTTACATGTAGTTTTACACTACTCTCTAATAGTGAGTCGCAACATGCTGTTTTACACCACACTCTAATAGTGTGTCGCAACATGTTGTATTACACTACTCTCTAATAGTGTGTCGCAACATGTTGTTTTACACTACTCTCTAATAGTGAGTCGCAACATGTTTTATTACACTACTCTCTAATAACTTCTTTGAGTGGCATTTTTAGAAGTTGGAAGTCAGATAGACCAAGTATATATCTAGAGCACGACGTTTCGATACAGGTTCTTGTATTAACAATGTGATGATAGTGAATAAAGGGTCAGAAATGCACTACATGTTGTTTTACACTACACTCTAATAGTGAGTCGAAACATGCTGTTTTACACACAGTCAAATAGTGAGTCGAAACATGCGGTTTTACGCCACACTCTAATAGTACGTTGGAACTTGTTGTTTTACACCACAGTCAAATAGTGAGTCGAAACATGCTGTTTTACACCACAGTCAAATAGTGAGTCGAAACATGCTGTTTTACGCCACACTCAGATAGCGCGTGTGAAGGTATTGTTTTACACCGCACTACACTCAAACTAATGTTTCAAACATTTTAACTTTATTTTCTTCTTACCAGGTCACCGCGCTTTTCGAACAATAATCCCTGTATTACACAAGTTAAAATGTTAGAAAAAGATCTTAGTGTTAGGATTCATCAATGTTTAATGCTTAACTTTGTCTTATGTTTAAATGAAACAAACAGACAGAGTCACATACCTATCCAATCCTCTAGGACAACTTCAATGACTACAGGGTGGGTTTCAAAGCTGTGGTACAGCACTCGGCTATAATTTCCTTCAATCTGTTTGTACTCCTCATCGCTCAGACTCGTAGTGTTGATGTAGGCTTTATCTGAGACGTCGTCGTAGGTCACGTATGGAGGAAGTTCTGTGTAATAGGTTTTATTCTTGAATTCCCATCTGTACCTGAGGGTCATGCCCGGGTCTGTGGTTCCCCTCACAGTCAGGTTCACCAGATCACCTTTCTTGATGCCCTGCCTAAGTGAAGGCTGGGTAGTCACTATGATGGGTTCTGGAAAAGCATAATATTATAATATTCCTTACATTGAAACATTGTTTTACGAACACAATGTACTGATACAAACAAAGTCCATTGACTGTATTGTGTACGGGTCAGGCTCATATTGATTGGTAAAGAAAGTTTAATTTATAATCCGTTAGGTATATATAGTGGTAGTTACGTATGAAATCTCGATTCTTCCACGATCATGGTATGAAGGTTGAGCTGACTAACCTATGACATTGAGACAACCGTTCGCGAACTCAGAGCCAATTGAGTTGGTAACCCGACACTGGAGGCACATGATGTCGCCTGGCTTGGTCAGGCCTCTGACGGTCATTACACGGTAACGGTCGCTGAACTCCATCTTTCCAGTACCTACGGGAATTGCAAAGTTCATGCTTTAACTTAGCACTATACGTGGATGATGAGTTTTTCATCCGCTATCTCAATGTTTTAGTCTTTACATCCATGGCCTTACCCTCGACTCGATAAGGCTTGCTACTGTTAGGATGGGGGACCCTATTCTAATGCAGACAATGCATTGCTAAAGCGTGTTCTGGCTCATCCATATTCTATTACAGCTATACATACATTATATATCAACAACATCATTATCAACAGTACAGTAGTACGTTAACAGGGGGTCACAGTCAAAACGGCAATAATGACCTTACAAAGTGGTTCGTATTTCCGAGTGTCTATGTTTCGGTTATTACTTCCTACTTCGTACAGCACTGGCACGAACATTTGTAGTAAAATACCTAGAAAGATATTGCATACAACAGAGAATAGGCTGTACCTGGAAGATTGTTAATGTTGATCTCAACCCCATTCTTGTACCACACAGGGGCATTCAACTCATCTTCGGAACGAGCCGAACGGGCCTTGCAAGTGAAGATGGCATCTCGACCCTCAGGAATGGTCTGGTTGTGAAGACTCTGTTCCCAGATAGGACCAGCTGCAACACGATATATGATAATTAAATATGCTTCACATTCCTACCATCCTCATTGCATCCCTACAAACAATCCTCAAAACATAACACCATGAATTACCCAACAACATCCCATGAAAAACTCTCTAAAGAAATCATATTACCACAGTCCTCACAATAATTCCAACAATCATCTTCAACAGCATTCTCATCAAAATGCCCACACACACCTCTACGAAGTCGACAGGCACCCACATCTGCCTCAACATCCCTACCAGCATCCCCATCAAACGTTGCAGTAAAACAACAGGCACCTATCAGTCCCCACCCCCTAAAGAAGTACTTTAGTACCCTTACCGACACCCCCACTATCACAGCCACCGCCCATCTCCTGACAGCACCTCCGCCCCACAAGCACTTAACCCCACCATCCTGGTATACTTTATAACAAGGCCTCTCATACCGACATCAACGCTCCGTCCACACGTATTAAACCCTACAATCATAGAGCATCCTATACAGGTCTATCACATCTGTGTTGGAACCATCGCCAACGCCTAATCTACCACTGATCACTTTTCGATGACAATACTAATCTAATGGGTCCACCAGATTGGTGTTGAGGAATAGCTCATGACAACCTACATGTAACGTCCAGGAAGATGTTGTCTTCGACCGTAGTAGAGCTGGTCGCAGTGCATGTATAAATGCCTTCATCATTCTCTGTTATATTAATGATCTGCAGTTTCATGTTGTTCTTGTCAAGTCTGTACTTCTTGTTGGCTGTGATAAGTTCTTTCCGCAAACCCAGCCACTGGACAGACGGGATGGGGCTTCACATACAGGAAAGCAGTAAAAACACATGATACTTCGTCGTACAAGCACAGCTTGATCATAACTTTATTTCAGATCATTATAAACATAGGCGTAAATCCACCAATTGTTTGATCTAGAAGTTGGTGAGCATACGGCTCTTCATAAAAACGAAGTATACGACTTTATGGAAAACCTTTCCACATATGAGAGCGACGTTTCAAAGTAGTAGTCCAAGCTAAAACGATGTAAGAATCTACATGCAAACGCCGTTCTAAACAATAAACAAGAAGATGTTATCCATGCAATTGTATGATTTTTTTAAAAATAAATCAACAAATGAGGGTTGATGTGATGCATTTATCACCAAGCCAACTTTAAACCATTCCCCTTTCCCGATCAGCATAGGTGATGTTGCCTCACTTTTCTTGTATATTATTAGGCTAAATAACTTTGATCATGTACATTCGATGATCAATGGACGAATAAATGACGGATTATAATACCAGTACATGACTGTACAATTTGTACTTAATCAGTGTACTTTTCTCAGGTGTGTCCGTTTCCCGGCCAAATAGTTTGCTCCCCTGACCTGAGGATATACGTGTACCTAACATCATGTAATGTCTACAACGAAATAGTTCATGCTTCTTTCTGTGTGAGGTATGGAACTTTCCAATCAACCTAATTATTTTACATATTTTATATTTATGCTTATCAAAGAAGAACGATGCACAATGTGTCCACATAATAATATAACAGAAGAAAAATGGAGGTTAGGGGAACACGATTTGTGTGTAGCACAGGTGGTTGGGCATACGCTGGGATGGGGGTGGAGGTAGATGCCGTGGTCCCTGACGACGGAAATCTTGTTTCTTCAGATGTGTATAGCTTCTTGAAATCTTCTTAAGATGTCATTCTTTTATTCCTATCATATTTGCTAGTTTACTATGTTCTAAGACCTAGTTCCTCAACGCAATGTATAATTATGTATGGGAGCTATGCCAGCCCTATAGAGCAGGACACAGTATGCGTGAAATTCCTTTTACTTAGCTCAGTCATATATCCACAGCACATTGTTCTAATGTTACGGAATTGCTGACACCTACTGTCCGCTGAAAACACACTCCAGCTCAGCATCCTGGCCTATGAGAAACTGGGGATTGACGGTCCTATAGACAGGCTTTGGAGGCACTTGAGGTTTGACTGTAATAAAAAGCGATTTCGTAGAACAGCATATAGGAATAATTCTCCACAATGTCTCTCAGTTATGTACATTTTGTATTGCGTATAATTAACCCAGGGTCAGTAACCTATGCAGGGGTTCAAAAATCCCGACGCCCGGGACAAGTCAGTTTTCATTTCGGGCAATAAAATAATGGTATCTTACTTGTCCGTGGGCTACTAGATAATTTCCACTTATGGTTTCAAACTGCAAATAAACTTGGATTTAATTTCATATCTGCTCAAAATGTAGCTATTAAATTTCGCAATGATAATGAAGTAGAGTTTTCTTTCTTTGCTATTTATCACTTTTCAATAAATAGTCCAGTAAACATTAACATCAAATACCATGTTGATTTATTCTTTCATAATTACATCATTATTATTATTTCATAAAATCAGGACAAGTGGAAAAATAGTAAGGACAAGTTACTTTTGAAAATTTTGAACCCCTGCTATGTTTGAGAGGCGATTAACGGGATCGGATGGTCAGATTTGACTTGGTTGGTTCACACATGTCATCATATCCCAATTGCTGTTGATCACCGGATTGTCAGGTCCAGACCCGTCTCGTTTACAGACCGCAATCATATAATTGGAATATTGCTGCGTGCGGCGTGAAACAACAAACAAACAAAAACAATTACAACACTTACCAACAACAACTGCAACATGTATACTGCTGTCTTTAAATCAGTAACTTCGTCTGATGTGTTTTCACATGCTTTGTGAAATGTTACTTATTTCTATACATCGAATAGACTGACGGATTCACAAGAGACAGATTTAACGAACAATCCTCACCATCTGCCGGTTTAACTGTCAGCTTCTTTGGACTACCCAGCTGGATGTTGTCAGGATTGTCATTATACATGGCGCACTTGTATATGTCAACAGCTGTCTGGTCTGCCACTTCCAAGAAGATGAAATGCAGCGTCCCTTTAAATCAAGAGATTATGACAGTCATTATTTTACTAAATATTGTAAATGATGATTAGGAAGCTCATCCCTTTGAATTAAAAGGATTATGATATCATTCTTGTATACATGGTAAATGATGATTAGGAAACTCATCCCTTTGAATTAAAAGGATTATGATATTATTCTTGTATACATGGTAAATGATGATTAGGAAACTCATCCCTTTGAATTAAAAGGATTATGATATTATTCTTGTATACATGGTAAATGATGATTAGGAAACTCATCCCTTTGAATTAAAAGATTATGATATTATTCTTGTATATATGGTAAATGATGATTAGGAAACTCATCCCTTTGAATTAAAAGATTATGATATTATTCTTGTATACATCGTAAATGATGATTAGTATCATCCTTTTTAAAGATTATGATATTCATAGTGGTAAATGATGATTAGGAAGCTCTGATTCTTATCGAGAAAATCGATCGCAGAATATTTGTTCTTGTCCTTAGCTGAAGATGATTACGAGAGCTTGCCTTTGTGTCCTTAGCTGAAGCAAGTATAATGCTGGAAAGGGCATGTTGATTATGATTTGGAGCCATGGTGAGTCTGCTAGAAGATTGTCCTGATTTGAACCACATGCGATCCGTTGTCCGTCTCCATGTGATCCTTGATCTGTTACCATGTGATCCGTGGTCTGTCACCATGTGATCCTTGGTCTGTCACCATGTTATCCTTGATCTGTCACCATGTGATCCTTGGTCTGTCACCATGTTATCCTTGATCTGTCACCATGTGATCCTTGGTCTGTCACCATGTTATCCTTGGTCTGTGTAAATGTGATCCTTGATCTGTCACCATGTTATCCTTGGTCTGTCTCCATGTGATCCTTAGTCTGTCGCCATGTGATCCTTAGGTCTCTGACCATGTTATCCTTCGACTCTGTCACCAATGTGATCCGTGGTCAAGTGTCACTATGTGATCCGTGATCTGTCAAATCTATGAATCCTTGGTCATGTTGGTACTTTGTTTGTCCTGTGTCCTCAGCTGAAGCTTACGTGAGCCCTTGGTCTGTCACCATGTATAATCCTTGGTCTGTCTAAATGTGATCCTTGGTCAGTCACCATGTTATCCTTGGTCTGTCTCCATGTGATCCTTAGTCTGTCTCCATGTGATCCTTGGTCTGTCTCCATGTGATCCTTGGTCTGTCTCCATGTGATCCTTGGTCTGTCACCATGTTATCCTTGGTCTGTCACCATGTTATCCTTGGTCTGTCACCATGTGATCCTTGGTCTGTCTCCATGTTATCCTTGATCTGTCACCATGTGATCCTTGGTCTGTCACCATGTTATCCTTGGTCTGTCACCATGTGATCCTTGGTCTGTCTCCATGTGATCCTTGGTCTGTCACCATGTGATCCTTGGTCTGTCTCCATGTGATCCTTGGTCTGTCACCATGTTTTCCTTGGTCTGTCTCCATGTTATCCTTGGTCTGTCACCATGTGATCCTTGGTCTGTCTCCATGTTATCCTTGATCTGTCACCATGTGATCCTTGGTCTGTCACCATGTGATCCTTGGTCTGTCTCCATGTGATCCTTGGTCTGTCACCATGTGACCCTTGGTCTGTCACCATGTTATCCTTGGTCTGTCACAATGTTATCCTTGATCTATCACCATGTGACCCTTGGTCTGTTACTATGTGATCCTTGGTCTGTCTCCATGTGATCCTTGGTCTGTCTCCATGTGATCCTTGGTCTGTCTCCATGTGATCCTTGATCTGTCACCATGTTATCCTTGATCTGTCACAATGTGATCCGTGGTCTGTCACTATGTGATCCGTGATCTGTCACTATGTGATCCTTGGTTTGTCACCATGTGATCCTTGGTCTGTCACAATGTGACCCTTGGTCTGTCACCATGTGATCCTTGGTCTGTCACCATGTTATCCTTGGTCTGTCACCATGTGATCCTTGGTCTGTCACAATGTTATCATTGATCTGTTACCATGTGACCCTTGGTCTGTCACTATGTGATCCTTGGTCTGTCTCCATGTGATCCTTGGTCTGTCACCATGTTATCCTTGGTCTGTCACCATGTGATCCGTGATCTGTAAACATGTTATTCTTGGTCTGCTTCCATGTGATCCTTGGTCTATCACCGTGTCATCCTTGATCTGTCACCATGTGACCCTTGGTCTGTCACTATGTGATCTTTGGTCTGTCTCCATGTGATCCTTGGTCTGTCACCATGTTATCCTTGGTCTGTCACCATGTGATCCTTGGTCTGTCACCATGTGATCCTTGGTCTGTCACCATGTTATCCTTGGTCTGTCACCATGTGATCCTTGGTCTGTCACCACTATGGCCGTGCTTGTTGGAGTCATCAAAGTGATACAAACTTTCTTCCTGCAAAGTACACGTCAGGGTCCCGATCCACAAAACGTTCGTAGCGCTACGGCATTCATAAGCCTATGATAAACTTTAGAGTTACGACAGGTCGTAAAGTTACGAACGCTTTGGCCATCGGGACCATGAGGTGTCTGAATCATTGTTATAAACAATGTGTGGCAAATAATACCGGGGTCTATATAATCACAAGAATCAAAATGATACAGCATTACCTTTATCGTCAATATAGATTCTGTTGGTTTCTTTAACTTGTTCCTGGGTGCCTTCGACTCCTTGAAGGAACCACGTGAAGCGTGCTGGAGGATCGCTCGCAGGAGCATCACCACACTCGAGACGAGCGTATCCACCCTCAGACCCATTGACGGGTTTTGGCTTAGCGCCGCTGTCAGCCCAACCTTTTAGAACTATAAACGACAATAGTATGATTAGGTCAAACAGGAAATGCTCATTGAAGGGATGGGTCTTTCACAGCAAAATCATAGGATTGTGTATTGTAATAAAGGGCGCTGTCGTACCTGATATTCATATGGGTCCTGGGGAAGTATGACGTATTATGTTATCAGTTAATACTACAAGAGCAACAGGCCATGGTAAAATCGGTAATAAAATGTTGAAAATCTGCGCTTTTCACTAGCCCCACTTTTAATTAAATTTCCCTATTTGTCATTACAGCAGTCGATACTTCCAACTACAGAACTGTAGTATTAACCATCTGTACCGCGAAAATATTTTTAAAATGTTTCTTGAAATACGTATATAACTATTTGAGAGAAAATAACAAATAGTAAAATCTTCTGGATTCACCCCTAGCGCTTCAACATATGTATACAATTTACAGACAAAGCTTTGGATGAAGTAAAAACGGTTTTTAGCGACGTTACGACCACGTTTGCCATATAGGAACAAAATACTAAAATCAAGACATTCAAGACAATCTGCTAAAATCGTTTGAATGTTACCTGAAGTTACAAGCGAGTAGTAATCAGAAGGCTCACTTCTAATCTTAGAGCAGTACTAATTGGTGTATCTCAGGGTTCCGTACTGGGACCTGTGATGTTCATAATATACATAAATGATATTGTAGATGATATTGACAGTAATATTCGACTATTTGCAGATGACACTTCTTTATATAAAACCATTGATGATCCCAATACAGCTGTCGCTTGCTTAAACAATGACTTAGGAAATTGCTCAAACTGGTTCATGGGATGGAAGGTCGCTTTTAATCCTCACAAAACAGAATCAATACAGTTCAGCAGTAGTTCTTCATGGTCGTCAGTCGAAAATCCTATTCACTGTTTCCTCACTTGCAGTAACTACTGGATGATGCCGTTAGCCAGTCGAAAATCCTATTCACTGTTTCCTCACTTGCAATAACTAATGAACGATGCCGTTAGTCAGTCGAAAATCCTATTCACTGTTTCCTCACTTGCAGTAACTAATGGACGATGCCGTTAGTCAGTCGAAAATCCTATTCACTGTTTCCTCACTTGCAATAACTAATGGACGATGCCGTTAGCCAGTCGAAATTCCTATTCACTGTTTCCTCACTTGCAATAACTAAGGGATGATTGAAATCAATCTGAAAACATATATGAGTTTCATCTGCCATGCCCTTATCACCCGATGACTCCATAAATTTGCTACGATTTCATGCAGCAATGCACATCACCCATACAAAGATAGACTAATGCCCAGTCCCTGAATATAGATAATTTGTACAGTAACAAATATACCGATTTAAATTGAAAAGGAGTCCCAGTCCCATTCCTGAACCTGGAGAAATCTAGACTTGCTTTATTTGTGGCTTTAGCATTGCAGGGAGGGCTAGGCAGTAGGGAAAATAATGTGGTTCAGGGACTGTGAGACTGACTAATACAAAACATACACTTCATGGAGTCTTTAAGATGTTATAGTTTTGTACCGGTGTGTTCAGCTATATCCACAGCTTCAGGCATGAAAGGCGGTAATGTGCTCGATAATCAAAGGGGAATAACTCACCAATTTCCTTTAGGGTGGTAACGGGTGACATGGCTAATGGGTACACACCCGGCCCAACATTATTTTCCACTCCACACTGATACTCCCCCTGTTCTCTGTTTGAGAAGCTGGGTATAGTCAGGTTACCGGTTGTACTGTCTACTTTCACATAGTTAGTAGATGTGATCTTCGTTCCGTCGAAGTACCATTTGTATCTGAAAATAGAAAGATGTTCAGGTCATATCGCCACCATTGGTTACCATTCGTCAAAAATTCGCCCTGACCTCGACTCACAATATGAGTGGGTCACGAATGATATCGCCACATAACCATTAATGACAACTAAAAGTATTTAAATACTTGTATTCAGAGATTATTTTTCTTTTATAATCCATAGCCTATGATATGGGTTATTTTGCTTACGTGACAGCGGGGTTTCCCGATGCTGTGCAGTGGAGAACAACCTTCGACTTGCCTTTGAGGTACTCTTTCGTCTTGGCTTCAGGTGTGATTATGTGTGGGGGGATGTCTATGAAAAAAACAACTTAATAATCACAGAGAGGTAAAACATCATGACATATCTTAGAACGCAGGAACTGTCTGTGATGTTTCAGGTGTATTTCTGCCTACAATTGTGTGTGTCATTTCTACATGTACCCATGTGTGTGTGTGTCTTGCATCTGTTGTATAGCCACTTGTGTGTGTGCGTGTGTGTGTTTGTGCGCGCGCGCACCTGTGTCTGTCTACATCTGTTTCTCTGTCTACACAAGTGTGTATGGTCACGTGTATGTGTGTGTGTACACCTGTGTCTGGCTAGCCTTGTTTGTCTACACATGTGTGTATGGTCACGTGTGTATATATACACGTGTGTCTATCTACATCTGTGTGTCTATCTATACAGGTGTGTATGTATGCAGGTGTGTCTAGCTACACTTGTTTGTCTATCTATACATGTGTCTATGGTCGCGTGTGTATGTATACACGTGTGCCTGTCTACACCTGCTTGTCTATCTACACATGTGTGTATGGTCACGTCTGTATGTAAACACGTGTGCCTGTCTACACCTGTATGTATGGTCACGTGTGTATATATACACGTGTGCCTGTCTACACCTGTTTGCATATCTACACTTTTGTGTATGGCCACGTGTGTATGTATACACGTGTGTCTATCTACACCTATTTGTCTGTCTACACATGTGTGTATGGTCACGTGTGTATTTATACACGTGTGCCTGTCTACACCTGTTTGTCTGTCTACACCTGTTTTTCTATCTACACCTGTCTGTATGGTCACGTGTGTATGTATACACGTGTGTCTGTCTACACCTGTTTGTCTGTCTACACATGTTTGTCTATCTACACATGTGTGTATGGTCACGTCTGTATGTAAACACGTGTGCCTGTCTACACCTGTATGTATGGTCACGTGTGTATATATACACGTGTGCCTGTCTACACCTGTTTGCATATCTACACTTTTGTGTATGGCCACGTGTGTATGTATACACGTGTGTCTATCTACACCTATTTGTCTGTCTACACATGTGTGTATGGTCACGTGTGTATTTATACACGTGTGCCTGTCTACACCTGTTTGTCTGTCTACACCTGTTTTTCTATCTACACCTGTCTGTATGGTCACGTGTGTATGTATACACGTGTGTCTGTCTACACCTGTTTGTCTGTCTACACCTGTTTGTCTATCTACACATGTGTGTTTGGTCACGTATGGTCACGTGCTGCATGCCTGTCTTCGCCTGTGTGTCTGTTTTTATCTTAATGTGAAGATCCCTAGACAAATGTCAGATGACAACCAGGTGCAGATACACTACCGTATACAGGCGTACAGGTACAGAAAGGCTTCCGTCCATGAAAATACCGGTATTCATGTGTAGACTGACACACAGATGTAGCAAAATATAGAGACGAAGGTGTAGAACCATATACAGTAAGACACCGAAATATTCAGGCCTACAGGTATTGACAGTAGTGGTGGTCCGATTAATTGAAATAATCGGTCGTAGTGACTAAACGACCAAGCAATCGATCGTATTTTCTCATAATCGAACACAACCAATTTTGGAACACTTGTTTTCATTAACAATATTTTTCACAAGGTTGGATTTGTCTGTTACATATTGTAAGCACTACAAGCTCGTTTCAAGTCATGATTGAATTTATCTTAAAGAAATTTATGTTCCTAACATACTAGTCATCCTTTAAAGATGTGAAATTTTGCCAAAAAGCCCCAAAAGAACTTCATGTTTTTTCCTTATTTTTATGAATGAATGAATGAATCTCTTTATTTCCTCCAGATTATATTCCGAAGATCATTATAAAAATGTACATGAAATATTTACAGCAACATAATCACAGCAATATATTCACAACACATTCATATAGTCATATACAATGTATATGTACAAAGAAAAATGAAAGGTCTAGAATGCACAGTTTAGTGAGGGAAGCAAGGAATATAGGTATTTACAGAAGAGGACAATCATACATCTCCATGACATTTCATCAACATCGTTAGTAACTAGTAGTTCACCCCCAGAAAATAGTGATAACATTTCATCTTCAGATAATAATTCTATTTGTACATAAACATCCACATCAAAGAGATCTATAAGCTTTGAAAAGAAATTATTCCTGTTGAACATATAGTGTTCACAGTGTAGAATTACAGGGCAGTCATAATCATTACAATATCTTTTGCAGAGTTCACAATGTTTTGAGAATTTTCCCCTTGAGCTGATTTGTACACAAAACTGTAATATATCTTTAAACTGTGGGTAGAAATACATCAAACAATACAATCTATGTACACCAAAGAAGTTGTGGGTCAAGCTGATATCTATTCATATCGTGCCTTACACACACTTGAGAAACCCATCGTTCAGTTTCAGATTTATTTATGCAATTAATAGTTATTCTTCGCCATGACGATTTACATGGAAACCTTCCAAAATCGAGATAGTCACTAAGATAATTGAAGAGATTGTATTTTAAACTGGTTTGAATAAGTGTGTCACATATGCTGTGTAAGACAGCTGTTCTGTTTTGAAAGGTGGCTAAATGTACACAGAAAATATCCTTAAATGAAGAGTTACACTTGCTGTTGCACAGCTTGCCGAGAAATAATAGTCTACATTTATCTATATAACCATCCATGCTCCACAATCCAAGGTTACCTAGCACTGAAGCAGAGGAAAAGCGCTTACCGAAACCCTGAATGCATCTGGCAAAATATCTCTGTGTACTTTCTACCAAGTCATAATCTTTACCTCGAAGAATGGGTAAAAGTTCACAACCGTAAAAGCTCGTTGGAAGTATCATTCTTTTCCATATTTTAACAGAAGAAGTAGGGTGGAGATCTTTACCGTTTAAACCAAGACTTTTTAGAGAATTTACAGATTGCCGTGCTTTCTGGCAGTATGAATATACTCTAGATTTTAGGGATAGATCAGACGAAAGTAAAATGCCTCCATACTTAACACAATCACTTGTTGGTATGTCTGAATCACCAAATTTGAAAGAATAATTACCCAGACGTTTCTTATATTTGCAGAAAATGACACAAGTGCTTTTAGAACCGTTATACGTTAGACGCCACTTACAAGCATAGCTATAAACAGTATCAAGTGATGATTGAAGACCTTTTGGAGAGGTGGAAGCAAGTGTTGTGTCGTCAGCCAATAGAATACATGGGATATTAATGCCACTTACACAAATGCCATTGTTCAAATCTCTAAGTTCACATATCAAATCATTAATAAAAACAAGGAAAAACCAGGAAGACAAGACTCTACCTTGCCCAACGTCTTGGCTTCAGGTGTGATTATGTGTGGGGGATGTCTATGAAAAAACCAACTTAATAATGACAGAGAGGTAAAACATCATGACATACCTTAGAACACAGGAACTGTCTGTGATGTTTCAGGTGTATTTCTGCCTACAATTGTCTGTGTCATTTCTACATGTACCCATGTGTGTGTGTGTCTTGCATCTGTTGTATAGCCACTTGTGTGTGTGCGTGTGTGTGAGTGTGTGCGCGCGCGCACCTGTGTCTGTCTACATCTGTTTCTCTGTCTACACAAGTGTGTATGGTCACGTGTATGTGTGTGTGTACACCTGTGTCTGGCTAGCCCTGTTTGTCTACACATGTGTATGGTCGTGTGTATATATACACGTGTGTCTATCTACATCTGTGTGTAAAATCTATACAGGTGTGTGTATGTATGCAGGTGTGCCTAGCTACACTTGTTTGTCTATCTATACATGTGTCTATGGTCGCGTGTGTATGTATACACGTGTGCCTCTACACCTGCTTGTCTATCTACACATGTGTGTATGGTCACGTCTGTATGTAAACACGTGTGCCTGTCTACACCTGTATGTATGGTCACGTGTATATATACACGTGTGCCTGTCTACACCTGTTTGCATATCTACACTTTTGTGTATGGCCACGTGTATGTATACACGTGTGTCTATCTACACCTGTTTGTCTGTCTACACATGTGTATGGTCACGTGTGTATTTATACACGTGTGCCCGTCTACACCTGTTTGTCTGTCTACACCTGTTTGTCTATCTACACCTGTCTGTATGGTCACGTGTGTATGTATACACGTGTGTCTGTCTACACCTGTTTGTCTGTCTACACCTGTTTGTCTATCTACACATGTGTGTTTGGTCACGTATGGTCACGTGCTGCATGCCTGTCTTCGCCTGTGTGTCTGTTTTTATCTTAATGTGAAGATCCCTAGACAAATGTCAGATGACAACCAGGTGCAGATACACTACCGTATACAGGCGTACAGGTACAGAAAGGCTTCCATCCATGAAAATACCGGTATTCATGTGTAGACTGACACACAGATGTAGCAAAATATAGAGACGAAGGTGTAGAACCATATACGGTAAGACCTACAGGTATTGACAGTAGTGGTGGTCCGATTAATTGAAATAATCGAAGATCGGTCGTAGTGACTAAACGACCAAGCAATCGATCGTAATTTCTCATAATCGAACACAACCAATTTTGGAACACTTGTTTTCATTAACAATATTTTTCACAAGGTTGGTTTTGTCTGTTCCATTTTGTAAGCACTACAAGCTCGTTTCAAGTCATGATTGAATTTATCTTAAAGATTCCAAGAAATTTATGTTCCTAACATACTAGTCATTCTTTAAAGATGTGAAATTTTGCCAAAAAGCCCCAAAAGAACTTCATGTTTTTTTCCTTATTTTTATGTGCCTTAACAAATTTCATAAATTATGCTAACCAATTATTTTCGATGATTGATCGGTTGTAATGAACCAATCATCAATTATGATATTTTAACCAATTCCCAACACTAATAGACAGACACCCATGTATATACTGGTATCCAGGTGTAGACTGACACACAGGTGTATATAAGCAGCTGCAGATACACCAGAGTATACACAGATTGACAGACACCCATGTATAAGGTATCCAGGTGTAGACTCCATGGACAGGTATTGACAGACACCCATGTATATACTGGTATCCAGGTGTAGACTGACACACAGGTGTAGAAATCACAGAGACGAAGGTGTGGTTCCATGGACAGGTGCAGACAAGTAATTGCAGACCGAAATATAGGTACACAAAGATATAAGCGTTAACAGACATACAGGTGTATGCACACATACAAGACGAAATAGATAGATAGAAAGCCTGATGGATAGACAATACAGCTGCGATGACATAGTGTTAGGCAAGCTATATAACCTCCCTTTGGGTGTACAAGAACCCTATTAGACACCGCTTATAAAGGAGAAATGACATGAATATGTTTGAGTCAATGAACGGGCGTTCTGTCAAATGTTTCTCTTTATAGGGATCCCCAGTGAAACCAAACATATTTTTATACAAAGCGTATGAATTGAATAAGTACCGGTAGGACCAGACCTCCTAACAATCGTTGGGAGAACAGTCTTCACTGATCTTCACTTATCCACTCATATAATTTCCACCAGTACACTGCCCTTTACGCCCAGCGGAATCTGTTTGGCAGGGTAATCGAGGTAATTCTCAGGTGTTGACATTTTATGTATTCAACAAAGGTGAGTAGAATACCGAAATTAAATAACAAAATGTCTATGCACCGAGTGGTGTTTGCTGACGCCAGACCACTGTCGTCTATTACAGCAGGTGTGGGCTAGTCATACAGGTGGATCGGTCCAGGGGACAATGAGGATGGGTTGTCGGCAGTGCCTTGTCCAGTGTTTACTCACGTACAACATGGCTACATTCACCAACCGGTGTGACCTACCAGTCGTTGCTCCCACGACAGCCTTGCATGACACTGTGCAATTCTATGCTAGATATGTGTGGTGTTAATATTCCAGATCCTAACCAGTTTCATGACTTGTTCTCATTTATTTCCGTCAATCTACATTTTTAGGCTATTTATTATTATTTCTTGCTTTGTGTTTTAATTATATTTGTTCTGTTATTTTTACTTCATGAGTTTTCTTCCCGCTAACAATTGCACAAAGGAACATCATTTTGAGATTGCGTTTGGGAAGATGGTGAAGGGTGTTTCGAATTACTCAACTAGGTACGTGTATATGAGTAATATTTGCATCCACGAACCTATCAACTTATATCGTTTATTTTGATAAGTGCACACATTAAATTAATTAAAGAACTTAAACTATATCTTACTCTGAGACGTGACACTGGACAGTGAGGCTAGCAAACAGACGACGAAGACGACGGGAGTCATTGTATCTCTTGACCCCACCCACAAAGAGTGTCCCACACGTGGAGTCTGAAATAGAACATTGGACATAGTTGGGTTTTACGCCGCATGTAGATATTTATAACAAACAATATTCATTCGAACCCGGGTCGTCAAATGAGCATTGTTACCCCACCGCCCCTCTGAAATAGAACAATGGACAAACAAACAATCATACATGATACATACACAATAAGATCTATCGATTGCCATATGTGTTGTATATAGACAAACTATGACAATGTTTCCTGATACACCACAATGAATGCATGTAAGGCATGTACAGGTATGCAACTAAAGGATAATGTGTAGCACCACTTACTATATATCTTAATATATACAGTCCGTTTGATTTCATTTGAGACCGATGAATTGCTCACAAATTATCAGAGTTGGTCTGTCGATTTAATGTGACTGCCAAATTTTGTTTTGTTGCAATTATTAGATTTTGTGTTAGTGAGCATTTCATCGGTCTCAAATGAAATCAAACGGACTGTACGTGTGGTCTAAAGATCTTATCATATAATTTTATTTACAAAGTATACTACTCATATTGAAAAACAAAAATGAAAATAATATGTTTTACTGCTAACTCATACAGTAACAACACTTCGGTGGGATCGCACTTGAAAATAAGATTTATCAATAAAGATAATATCATTGACAATAGCCAGTATACGCTATCCTTCTTAGTTTGGTAGCCTCAGCAATGAATTGATTTTGATTTAAACATATTTATTCAAGAGAATGGATTGGGTACAAGTTATGCCAACTTAGTGAAACCCTCTCCTATTTACAGTGCTTACATGCAAAAGTGAAACAAACTATATGTACAGGGATAGAAAGATATATACAAAATGATATATACAATACAATGAATACATGAATTATTTAGATCATACACATTATATCCAATCACTGAACCTTTTGGAATTTGATATATATTTTTGAACTTCTTTAAAAATTTGAATATTGTCACTATACGGAAGATCTGCACTGCCATTTAATAGTACGTCTAGGTTTGTTGGTGCTTTTAATGTTACAAATTCTGCTAATATTTTGAAACATTTCCTGTCTGATAACAGAATACAAAGAACATTCCATAAAATAATGTTGAGAATTTTCACAGGTAAATTTACAATTACATTCGGGGGTTCTCTATGAGACCGACCCTATATAGATCACCATTTAATCTACTATTTGAATATCTTAGCTGGGTATGAATTACATTGAGTTTTCTATTACCAAATGAGAAATATCCGGGTGCTTTTGACTTACGCGAGCTTATCTGCGATTTAAAACTTTTTAAGGGAACTGATTCTCTAACATATAAAGGAGATTATTCCAAAGTTGTGCAGATGATGGGAAAAATGATTGACTGTAGAGATTTGTGCAGGAATAGTACAGGGAAAGATCACGAATGTTTCTAAGATTATAATTTGTCCTAGATTCAACAGTTTGAGGCATAAGATCACAAAGGTAGGATGGAGCATTTATTATAGAATAAAGACAGTTTACGACATCTTCTTCTTTCTTTTAACATTTGCCAACCTGTTTCATATATCAGAGTATCTCTAGTAGCATATTTTGGTAAACCAGTAACTATCCGGGCGGCCTCAAACTGGACTTTTTCAATTTTATCGGTTAAATCTACCGAACAACCATCCCACAATTCACAAGCATATTCAAGATGTGGTCTTATGAATGCAATATAAATCTTATTAAGAGTGTCTCTGTTTAACATACACTTTAATTTTCTCATTGATGAAACCATCAAGGACGTTGTTTTTACAATGTTATCAATATGTGTGTTCCATTTACAATCAGAAGAAAATGTTACTCCAAGATGTTTATGAGATTTTTCCAAACGTACACACTGAGTTTCAAATTCTAAATTTAGAATTGTATTATTATTCTTAAGACTGAAAAGTATAGCTTCTGTTTTGTTGGGATTGTATATCACAAGCCAACGTTTTGCCCAGCACGATAAATATTGTAGGTTCTTATTGAGTGTCTCTTGCATAAGTCTGTGATTGATAGATGAAAATCCCATTGATGTATCATCTGCAAACAAGCGTGCAGCAGCAATGAATCAAAGGGAATTCATTGCTATTTGGTATAAATTATGTCTACTTAAATATTAGGAGGCCTTTTCAAATGAAACATACACTGCAATACCAGACATAGTAATCAACAAAGATTCAGTAATTAACTCTTCATTAGTAAATAAGGTTAGTCTGTCATACAGACCCTGAAGCAAATATATCCAAGAAATCCCACGCAAGTTTAGAAAATGTGGCAAGTCTAGATTTCCACAGCTTCAGGAAATGAAGAAAGTCTCAGGGCTCCTTTGTATTATATTTTGATTTTTTTCACTATGAGCCTTTTTCTGTAAAATATGTTGATTTCAGAGACTAGTTGTCAATCTATAATAAGGTAGGACAACTTGACTGAGGACTAAAACAATATTATTGTAATGATCCATGCCACTAGGCATCACTACCATGTATCACATTCCATGTTCTCTGTCAGTTGCAGAAACCTATTTCCCTTATTTCACTATATGCTTTTCTTAGTACTTTTGTCTTTCTATCTATAGATCTATATATGCATCCATCCATCCTTCTATCTATCTATGTCAATATAACATTTACATTAATTCATATATATTTTCAGAATATTTATTACAGTTTAAATTTTCGTCTTAAGGTATATCAACATGTTCAGATTGTTTTAAACTTATATTTTTAATGTTATGCATTTGTCGTCGTATACTCCGCAGGTCAATGTTATTCTGCATATGAATCTATTTCGTGCAGGTCTCTCTGTCTGCCTTTCGATCGAAATAGATATTTCTCGTCAATCAAACTGCTCCGCCATCGAAGTGACTGCGAACGTACAACTATCTGGAGTCACATACGGTGTTCCAGTTTCGAAGCAGGTATCGGTGGCATCGTAGACATTTAGCAACGTGAGGTCAAGGTCATATGGTAGATATTTCAGATTCAGGATGTATGAGCTGGGTGAAAATAACGAATGTGTGAAGGCTAATATGATGTGTATTTTCAGGATCTGATTAATACACATAAGAAACAGGTCATAGTGATATTTTTCAAATACACAAAACTGTTTGACAAGGCTGCATACGAGGTGTCAACCTGTCGATGGTGTCGTACTGGGCTTTGTCTATTACAGATATGTGCTTGCAGTCGCAGGTATCATGTAACGATAGCAGTTCACAGTCTAGCCTAACAGTACTTGCTATACTACGTCACACCTCTCTCTCTTGTGATGCATTGTTTAATGCATAAAAATAAATAAAAATGCATATCATAATACGTTTGTATACAAACGATATACTTCGTCAGGTAATAATATGCTGTAGTTGTTACAACACAAAGGTAAGGTCACTATGTATAGCAACAAAACGACACGCCCATATCGTGAAACCAGCATGACCATGACAAACTATACCATGTCAGTTATGTCATGAGATGTGACCCTACCTTGTTACCTACCTGTATACAGAAATCGACTACAGGTAGGCCCCGTGAGGCAGAGTTTCTTCCATACCTGCTCTACACATTCAACAGGCTATGAGTGAGCCGCCCACTCGGTGTGTGAAGCGAAAGCCATGAGCGTGCTTACCATGGCGGGTGGCCTTGCAGTGGAAAACTGGTTACGTTTTGAAATGCGGTAAAAACTTTTCAATGTTTAGTTTAATTTTAGGGTGTATCCATATCCGTTTATGTATGCTGCCGAAACGAATAAATATGAATAACCATTGACCAGAAAATATCATACACTAAACAAAGAAGGTCGTTATATTTTACATACTAGTATTATGAAACGTGTTTGGAATAAGGTGCTTTCAAGGTGCATTACTTCAATTGTAAACAGACAAAGCTATTGAATAAGAGTTGGCATGCTATTTGTATATGACCGTAAGGCCATTTAAGAGTTATTACAACCATACGTACCTTTTCAGTGCACGGGTAGTGTATTCCGTTAAAGAATTCCGTGGTCTTTGATATCAAATGGTCACATGTTATCAGCTCAAGAGATATGCTTCAGAGACTAAACTAAATGAATTGTCCAGATCACGCTAACCTAGATACCTTTTTGAATAATTCAGATCGAATCTATGCCGTTTAGCGAGTCATATTGTGCAAACTGCCGGGCTAATGTGCGGCTGGTCAATAGACGGTCATGACGTCACTACACCGCGAACACTGTGTGATTCAAGAGTCGTTCGCTTTGACTTAATGATATTTAAACTGTAAACCAGGAAATATTTCCTGAAGGGCACATACATTGTGGACACCTGATATAGTCTTAGTCAGGACAGGCTGGTAGATTTGTTTGTTTTTACCCCAGGATGATCAAATGTGTGCACCTATATATCATGTAAAACCGACAACTGGGAGTAGCCCGAGATGTTGTTACGTCGGTATATAACTGCTAATGCCGCAGCTGTTGCTGTTGCTGCTGCTGCTGCTGCTGCTGGTATGAGTAGTTGATGTTTTAGAAAACACAATTTGAATAAGCTGAAATCATGCAGGGATTACATTTTGATGCAAAGGTAATAATAGCTTTAAATATAGTATGAAAATGTATTACTGAAAATCAGTGATAACACCAGTTTTCCGCGTAAGTGAAGCGTCAATACTTTGGATTTTGGAATCATTCGATCTTAGCTTCTGTAAATTTGATTGTTCGAAAGGAAATGCATAACCAGGCAGTTCTTTTGTAAAGAATGTATTGTTTTCGTTTTGTCGGAAGATATATTACAGCTATTAACTGACGATAAAGTACAGTGATAGGGAGAACAAAAAATACTAGGCCTCGGAGATGTTTTGGGGGCTCGCATCTGAAACGATATTTTCCTAATAAAGATAATATCACTTACAATAACGTACACAATCTCCTTAGTTACGCAGATTTAACACGATTCGGTTTAAAGCACGCAGCCTCAGTAATGTATCAAAGCAAATTTATTGCCATTTGGTATAGATAATGGTTTAGTAGTTGTCCACTTAAATATTATAAGTCCTTTTTTGTTAAAATATATATATATTATTACACTGCGACCCTGTACCAGACGTGTGCCTCCAACAAAGGTTGGTTTTACTTTGAGCATTCAACAAATTAAATATTTTTTCTTATAAGCCAGCAGATGTTTCAGGTAAAGAGAAAGTAAAATTACTTGTTAGAGTTAGCCGTGTACCATTTTTACTATTATTACACTTTATGTTTTAAATAACAAACATGTATATTTGATGCCCATAAACAGCTGAAAGTTTGTCATCGTATCCCAACTGCGTAGATGGTTGTTCATGATGTTAATCACCGGATTGTCTGGTCCAGACTCGATTGTTTACAGATCGCCGCCATATAGCTGGTATATTGCTGAGAGCGGTGTAAAACAACAACCAACCAACCAACCAACAGTTGAATAAACCCTATATACGACATTTCTCCAATTCTATATTTAGTCATTTATCTTCCGTATAGTGACAATATTCACATTTTTAAAGAAGTTCAAAAATATATATCAAATTCCAAAAGGTTCAGTGATTGGATATAATGTGTATGATCTAAATAATTCATGTATTCATTGTATTGTATATATCATTTTGTATATATCTTTCTATCCCTGTACATATAGTTTGTTTCCCTTTTGCATGTAAGCACTGTAAATAGGAGAGGGTTTCACTAAATTGGCATAACTTGTACCCAATCCATTCTCTTGAATAAATATGTTTAAATCAATCAAACCAACAGTTGAATAAACCATATACATGTATACGATATTTCTCCAATTCTATATTTAGTCATTTATCGTTTCCCACAGGCTATTATCACATAAATGTATGGTTTTGGTGAATAATCGTACAACGATCAGTCTTTATTCAGGATGGACTGTACCATCAACCAATATACAGTAATGTGGTCCACATATCATAAATTTCTCGCTTACGTAGCATTACATATTGTTCCAGTGGCATCTTATTAATGTGATTTTCGACCCCAAAGACACATTTACAAGACCTGTTCGCTTATGTTTTAGAACCACTAGAAATTGCATTTTGTCAGCCCTGCCTGGCTGTGACAGTTTCCTATGTTAACACGTAGCATGAACTCCGGGAAGGAAACTTGATCTTTTTACAACTTGGGTAACACATTGATGGCTTCAGGCCAAGTTTACAAATCAACTCCTCCAATTTTGTAACCCAGTTAATTTTACCCCTTAAAGAGACACTGATCTAAAGCAATTCCCCGGGACTGGTTGTTGCTTTTGTTCTGTTTTCCCCCCGCGACTACCCGGATGATATCCCAGAATTCTTGACTGGGTTGCGATCTCTACTGCGCCAAACCCAAGCGCAATTGGTAGTACGTAATATGTCCCTATAACGAGGTGAAGGGCATAACCGACAGTTGAGACCAATATTTAACACGGTTTAAATACAAAAAAATAGATTGTGTGTATATGCCAGGACCTGTTCAGACCACACGAAGCTGGTATAGTTTCACGGCATGAAAACCTTTACACGCATACCCATTAAGTGTCTCCATTTTCTCACTCATGTGTCACGCTGTCCCACTAGTTGCTATGAGACTTACTAGCTTACAGAGTAATGTGTGTTTTTGCTTATGTAAGGGTTCCCACCAGTAACTGCTGTTAAACCGGATTGTGTTGAATAAACAGGTTTGACATATTTCCGCGACATGATAAGTCACTTGAGATAACATTATCACTCAGAGGAACACTTTGTTGAGAATAAATAGAGCAGTTCTGAATAAAAGATGCTGTATCAGCAGCGTTAGTTGACGATGGGTTTCTACATTACGTCATAACAGTGCAGATCAATGGTCCGTGCATAACATCTTTGAACCATGGATAGTTTATCCTCGTATTATGGTTTAACGAATTTAAAATCGTGGGTAGAACGAGACGATATTGCTTTAACATTCAATAAATACAACTGTCAGCTAATGTAGACAATGTACTAAAATAAAATCCGGTTTTACATTGAGCTCCTAAAACGTATCTGCAGAGTAGAATGATCGATCTAAATGTCCTAACTTTGGAAGGGTAGGACATGTCTGTGACATGCATGTAGTCACCTCGGTCTGGCCGCTATAATGTGAGTCATCGTGTACATTGCAATGTTGCTGACGGTGTGTGAAATGCATGTTACTGGGTTAATATGTTCGCTACAGCTATGAAAAATCACTGTCTCATGGGTTGTCAGCTGCAGTTATGTAGTGAGTGAGTTTAGTTTTACGCCGCACGCAGCAATAGTCAAGCTATATGGCGGTGCAGTTAAGTAAAAACAATAGCGACAATATGTGGATTAATTTTATCACAACAGGAGTCACAGAACTGGTTGTGAATAATTGAACTCTCTGCCTTGTTTTACATTTACCGAGTGCTGCGTCCCATCGTGTTACCGTTTTACATTTACCTAGTGCTGCGTCCATCGTGTTACCGTTTTACATTTACCTAGTGATGCGTCCCATCGTGTTACCGTTTTACATTTACCTGGTGCTACGTCCCATCGTGTACCGATGTGCATTTACCTAGTGCTGCGTCCCATCGTATTACCGTTTTACATTTACCTTTTACATTTACCCTAGTGCTGCGTCCCATCGTGTACCGTTTTACATTTACCTAGTGCTGCGTCCCATCGTGTACCGTTTTACATTTACCTAGTGCTGCGTCCCATCGTGTACCGTTTTACATTTACCTAGTGCTGCGTCCCATCGTATTACCGTTTTACATTTACCTAGTGCTGCGTCCCATCGTGTACCGTTTTACATTTACCTAGTGCTGCGTCCCATCGTGTTACCGTTTTACATTTACCTAGTGCTGCGTCCCATCGTACCGTTTTACATTTACCTAGTGCTGCGTCCCATCGTGTTACCGTTTTACATTTACCTAGTGCTGCGTCCCATCGTGTTACCGTTTTACATTTACCTAGTGCTGCGTCCCATCGTGTACCGTTTTACATTTACCTAGTGCTGCGTCCCATCGTGTACCGTTTTACATTTACCTAGTGCTGCGTCCCATCGTGTACCGTTTTACATTTACCTAGTGCTGCGTCCCATCGCGTACCGTTTTACATTTACCTAGTGCTGCGTCCCATCGTGTACCGTTTTACATTTACCTAGTGCTGCGTCCCATCGCGTACCGTTTTACATTTACCTAGTGCTGCGTCCCATCGCGTACCGTTTTACATTTACCTAGTGCTGCGTCCCATCGTGTTACCGTTTTACATTTACCTAGTGCTGCGTCCCATCGTGTTACCCTAGTGCTGCGTCCCATCGTGTTGCCGTTTTACATTTACCTAGTGCTGCGTCCCATCGTGTTACCCTTTTAGATTTATCTAGTGCTGCGTCCCATCGTGTACCGTTTTACATTTACCTAGTGATGCGTCCCATCGTGTTACCGTTTTACATTTACCTAGTGATGCGTCCCATCGTGTTACCGTTTTACATTTACCTAGTGCTACGTCCATCGTGTTACCGTTTTACATTTACCTAGTGCTGCGTCCCATCGTGTTACCGTTTTACATTTACCTAGTGCTACGTCCATCGTGTTACCGTTTTACATTTACCTAGTGCTGCGTCCCATCGTGTTACCGTTTTACATTTACCTAGTGCTACGCCCCATCGTGTACCGTTTTACATTTACCTAGTGCTACGTCCATCGTGTTACCGTTTTCGCAGCTCAAATGAAAATTCTTGTTACAGCATTTTAATGCCCTACCTGACACAGATGGTGTTGTACAACAGTTTCGGAGCGGAGCCGTCACAAAACTCGTGGGACATAGGATTTGTTTCTACTTGAAAGGGTAATTTTTAAAAACTATCAATTTGGTCGAAGTCGAATCCTCAGTGATAAAATAAATATTTATAGATAAATGATTAAGGATATATATTAGGTACTACATTTTCATAAACATGTCATATTGTTTAACCAATGGAAGATAAAAAAGCCATTCGCTTTATGCCATCTCAGATTTTCATTACGGGTGGAACCGAATCCTGCAGCTATGACACGGCTGATACTAAACAATGATGCGAAAACCAAGGCCATTGTTAAGTACTACCTGACATGCACTTACAAAAGTTCCACTCTTAAACAGATCTTAATCACTTGCGCAAACCTGCTCGTAATGTCCATAGTATATTACTCTTTCACCGATTTACTTTTCAAACAC